GTTACAGAATTTAAATATCTAGGAAGTATTTTCTCGGAGGGTGGGAGAATAGATGGGGGAAATGGAAGCAAGATGCTAACGAGTAAGTGCACTTATATACCAACCGACGTAGTTATTAGGTATCAAAACATTAATATGAGCGCCAAGGAGCAGATTATTAACAGCATAGTCATACCAGCACTGTGCTACCAGTGAGAAATCTGGTCATTTCTAAAGTTAATCTATGTAAAGTGAACAGCTGTGAAATAAGATGACAATAAAGTCGTTAACCATCCGAGACAAAGTGAGGAATGACACTATCAGACTGTGAGAACAACAGCCATGCATCACATTAATTGAGACACACAAGATCAGATGGTTTGGTCATCTCGTCAGAATGCAACCACTACTACCAAGTCCAACACAAGTGATATAAAAGAAAAGATCTGATGTGAAAGCAAGAGGTTGTCCTAGGAGATCATGGACTGATGTCATTTAAATACTTTCTACATCGACACCAAAGGACAACTCATCAAACAATGGATAGCAAACTGTTCCTTCCCACTCCGCTAAAGCAGCAAAAACAGAATTTGATGATGTTGAATCGGTCAGTCATGTTAGCTGAAAAGAATGTAGCAGTGGTCAGGGGATCCAGCCCACAGTGAAACACTCAAAGAAAGGACAAGATGAACACACAATTACAATCAACTAGTGCAGTGGTCGGCAAACTCTTTAGTCGAAACAACCAAAAATCAGCAGGAAGACACTAAACAAAAATTTTGAGAAGAAATGTTTTTTAAGAACCTGTCAAGAACCATGTTTTTCAAAGTAAAGATCCCTTTTCCTGCCTTAGGCGCATCGGGCATTTGGGAAGAGCGTCCCATATTTTTACAGACCAATCGGCACTGGGTGGGTAATGTGCATTACGCCGGACATCTTTACTTCCCCATGACATGTTATGCCTTAAGGCATATAGGGCTAGATCTATATTTTTATAGACCAATCGGCACTGTTTTCCAAAGCCAAAAGCAATTTGTGGCCAACTGGCTGAGCCACACCCAGGTCGCTAAAGTGCCACATGCCACCCGCGATTTGCTGACCACTGAACTAGTGCCATCAGAATTTAAACTCTGTGCTCGCTGCTGAAGATGGTAACTGAGCTTGTATGGGAATGTGCCGAGTGCTATGATGTCAGTTCTTAATTCACATCTGCTATATTCAAAGATGGATCAGTCAACAAAAACATTATCTATAGGAAGAACAATAACATCCTAACAGGGCATGTTTCACCGTCACAATTGTGAACAGTAATACAACCCGGAAATGACAAACCGCTCCATGTATACAATACTTATGGCACTTAAAAGATCCCTCTGCTGTGACAAACACAAAAATAACACGCGACACTGTTACTTGCATTGGGAAATCATCATTAACTCACAGGGAAAACTCACTGTTTACTCACAGGCTGATGCAACATTTTCAAATACTTGAAAATGCAATGTGGTGGTGGAGCTGCCAGTATCTTTGCCTGCTAAGACAATGAAGAGCAAAAAGATCATTTCCCGTGTGGCTTTGGCCCCCACCTCCTCCCCCTTGAGAGGGACAAACAAGTATGTCGTAAGAGTCAACTAATAGGGGACTTCCTTCGAAAACAGAGTATAATTAACGAAGCACAGGTTACCAAAGCAACACTCTGTTGTTCAAAAACTGTAATGTTAAATCGCGTATAAAACAAACATACAAAGGCAAAGTATCCGCAGAAGGGATTCTTCTCAAAAGACTATTGCTGTACGCAGGAAATACAAAATATAATGTTAAGTAGAATACACAATTCCTGAATAACATGTACAAATTCTTAAGCAAATCAAATGAATTACCTTTCTTCTAAATCTAAGGAGAAAAAAAGCATCTACATTATTTGCAGCCAATTTTCCAGCTACATTATTTGAAGCACTCCTATTATTACCATAAACTGGAGCCACCCCTGAACTATATAACGTAAATAACATTTAACCATCCTTACACCTACAGTAAGCCACCCACTATATCTACCTACATTCAGCCACCCCTTCATCTACATTTAGCTAACTGCATCTACATTTAGCCACACCTACATCTACATTGAGCATCCCCTACATCTATCTACAAGCAGCTACTGCAACATCTACATTTAGCCAACCCTTTACCAAAATGTGGGAGCTGACGTGATGTAGCGGCTGGATGCTCGCCTCAGGCCCAAGGGTCACTGGTTCAAATCCCCACTGAGCTGGATTTTTCTCTCCCAAAAATGACCTTGGCTGCCAGCTTCACCCAGCCTAAAATGGTATCAGGTAAAGTCATGAGAAGTAAAGGCAGCCAACATGATGTTGACCACATCACCCACTGCGTGCTGATTGGTCTGTAAAATGCAGGTCTAACACTACAGGCCCAATATGCCTATTGGCATGGAAAGGGATTTAAGAAATTGTCTGACTTGTTATTAACTGTTCGGAATTCACATCCGTATGTTAAAACTGACTCTATATGGCATGCGTGTTGCAAGTCCGACTCGTAATTCCAACGTACCGCGACAGAAACCCACTGCTGGCTGTGTGGATTTTTATCATGGTATGGGGCGTCGCAGGTCAACCAAGCCTAAAATGGGTACCAGGATGGCTGTCCTGAGGAAGTAAAGATGGTGGCGTAATGCTGACCACATTACCCACCCAGTGCCGAATGGTCTGTACAAATATGGGATACTCTTCCCATAAACCCGATGCCCCTAAGGCATGAAAAAGGATCTTTACTTACTTACTATATAGCATGCAGGAATTTTTTTCCTAACCTCCAATGACATGGATTTATTGCATAAAGTATTCTTCATTTAATAAAATGGAAGTAAAGCGCACATCTACATTACATAAAATCATCCCTATATCTTCATTACATGTAGTCACTTCTACATCTGTATTACATGTAGCCATCCCTACATCTACATTATATGTAGCCATCCATACTTTGAGCCATTTGTTCATCTAGATTACATAGTCTATAAATTACACATGACTTAACCTAAACAATTTTAACATATTTAATCTAAATTTCCTGCTTTCACATGTTTGCACTAAATCTTGCACTGTGTTTCTGCTTGAAGTCACTGCCAATCATGTTTTCTTACTACAATTTTCAGAAAATGTATTCCAATTAAATATTTTCCTTGTGGAAAATAAATTCTGGCTAATTATTTTTTAAAAATATGGCCAACATAAATTAGCAATATTGATGTACATGAAAGGACAGTTTTTAAAATACAATGTTAAGCAAAGTTACACACAGTGCTGAGTATGTTCCAACTTAATCTATAGTTACATGGAATGGTTACACTCTTCAGCAATATGTACAATTAAATATTCAAAGAAGGCACTTTGGACACTGAAAAGAAGACACAGTTTTGTTTAAAAAAAAAAAAACGCCACAGAATCAATTACAAGTTGGCATATACATCTTGTCAATGCAAACACTATAGAGAGGGTATACAAGAGTACACCACTGGAACGAGTCAGAATTTTCATCTATGCACATATCATAAGGTAAAGAACTCTATATTTCTCTGCCACTGTGGCAAGCTGGGTCCAAAATTGTGTGACCAAATACACATATCATGGCTTACAGAATAATTTTATTTGGCATAACACAAGTGTTAAATAAGACCAACAAACATTATTACAGGTTTGATTTCTATAGATTCAAACACATCTGAAGGTTAGACATGATCATATCTACAGTTTTCAGAGGTCTGAAGGTTTCAATAACTAGAACTTTCAAACAGATCTGAAGATTCAACATTCTCATTCTTCTTGTTCGTGTTCACTAGCTGTAAACGTCTGCATAAAGTTCTGATTGTTAATCCACCTCTGGACTTGAGTGTTGTTTCAGAATGAGTTTTGCATCCGAACTGAGTTAACAGATCTGACTTATCTGCATGCAAACCGCAGGTTAATTGCCTCTTAGCACACTCTAACTTTGAAGAAAGCGCCCTTTAGATTACTCTTACAATATACTTGCTGGGAAAGCAGTGGGTCTATTCTTGTTTTCCAGACAACGAGGCCCTGAAATCCTCAAGGGGAGTCTTTTTCTTTTTTTAAATATCTACTACAACTTTAAAACAAGTCTAAAGGTTTGATATTATTTCACCTGCTGCAGATTTCAAACAGGCATGAAGGTCTGACATTTCATCTGCTGCAGATTTTAAACACATCAGAAGGTCTGACATTATTTCTCCTGCTGCAGATTTCAAACAGGCATGAAGGTTTCACATGAGAACCATGTCTACAACTTTGAAACGAACCCCTCTTGTGCAATTCTGGGACCCCATCAGGGGGGGGGGGGGGGGGGGGAGACCCAGGGAGGGGACAGAACACACTGCCCTCTAACAATTATGTTAGAAAAGGTGACTCATTAGTTTTCTTAACTCAGATGTGTTGAGCAGAGAGGTACAAATATCACAGCCTAGATGTAAAACACAACATGTCAACTGCCCTTGCAAGGGTAAACGAAGAAGAAGATCTGCTGCAGATTTTAAACAGGCTTGAAGCTTACACATGATAACCATGTCTACATCCTTGAAACGAACCCCTCTTGTGTGGGTCCTGGGACCCCAAGGGGGGGGGGGGGGGTAGTGTAGGGGAAGATAAGACCCACCACCCTTTAACAAGTATGTCGGAAAAGGTGACTACTTAGTTTTCTTAAGTCAGATGTGTTGAGCCGAGAGGCACAAATATCGCAGCCTAGCTGTAAAACATAACACAACATGCCAAATGCCCTTGCAAGGGTAAATGAAGAAGAAGAGAGTCTGCAACAACTTTCAAACAGGTCTGAATATTTGCCAGGATACTGATTACATATTTTCAAACATAAATGAAAAAAAAACGTAATTATTGGGTCCTTTTGACTTTGAGCATTGTCATGTCTATCACAATGTAACCTTGACAACACACACCATCAGTCCATCAAATCTCTTCAAGGTCAGGTCTACAGTGTCAGGGATGCTCCAAGATCTTTGACACAGCCAGCAACTGCAACATAAGAATACAGTTCATCTCTGTAGCTTGAACATGCATCTCTGTAGCTTCAAAATTCATCTCTATAACTTCAACAGACATCTCTCTAGCTTACATATACATATCTATAGCAGGGAATCACGTAGATATACTGTTCGGTATTGCAGGAGTGCGATGGGATGAAAGAGCGATTTTCTGGCTTCAACTACTGGACAAGGGAGATATTCTGAAGACCATTCATCAACGACTTTTGGCAGAAGCCACGAGATTAGATGAAATAACATGGGCAAGAATGTGTGAACTAGGAACTGAGCGTGGATCCGGCAAGGAGAAACAGATGAGAGGAAGAGAACGACGCGTGTATAATCAGTGTGTTAGAGGAACAGTTAGCATCTACACCTTACATAATTTGCTGCAGGAGACGGAGCATCTATGGTTATGCCCGGTGTGCTATTATGATGTCGATTCTTAAATCAGTAAGTAATCTGTAGCTTCAACTTATATCCAAACTGTCAAACTGACAAGGATGGGTTGACAGCATCCACATGTTCACCTCAAGAAACTATCTTGGCTCCACACAATGGGACATGCCAGGGTGAAAGGAAATGAAAGAACCAACAAATTAGATGGGGAGTCGCCGTGGCTGAGCGGCTAGACGCTCGCCACGAATTAAAAGGTCGTGGATTCGCTCCCTGGCGGGGGCCGGACTTTTTTCAAAAATGTCCTTAGCTCCCAGTTTGACCCAGCCTTGAGTGGGTACCGGGTGCAGCCCCGGGATGGCAGCCCGGCATGATGCAGACCCCATCACCCATCTTGTGCCGATTGGTCTATAAAAATATAGGTCTAGCTCTATACGCCTAATGGCGTGGAAAAGGGTCTTTTTTTTAAAACAGACTGGATGCATCTGCAGTGGTCAGTACAGGAAGAAGTATGGACAGGCAGGTATACTGAATACAATGCCTTCTAGAAGCGCTGAGATGAAGGAGTCAGGTACGATGAACCGCCTGTTGGAAATGAGTATTAAATAAGAACAAGCATGCAGAAACTGGCTGCGGGGCAAAGAAAGAGGAATTATAATCATCGTCCTACAGGGTATGTTGAGCACAGAGACGCTGAAACGGCTACAGCATAGAAGGACGGAGCAATTTCAACATATATCTCTATAGGTTAAAACAGGAAAATGTCTCCTGGGCTTCAATAGAATTGTCTAGGACTCAGGCACATATAAATATCTCTATATTTTTTTTTTATTTCCTTCATTCCTCCACTGCAGCACAAGCTGTCAACTAGCACATGCCAAACCATCCCACTCATTGCCATACAACTTATACAACTCCATGTCACTTCTTCTTTTTTTTTCTATGGCCCTGTCCTCTCTTTTAGCATCAGAATTTGACCAGGCATAGGGTGCCAGCATTGGAAAATGCTATGCTGATGCTGGTATTTATGGCCTGGGATATTCCATCTATCCATCGCTCACCTGGTCTGCCTCTAACTCTGCTTCCATTTTGCCTAAGTGACAGGTCTCTCTATGCTGCAATATCTATTGGACAGCCTGTTATACTGATGGTTAAGAAGTTGTAGTGAACCATTTTCTCCTCGGTAAATTATATCCCAGAAATTATATCCCCAATGATGTCAGCTAATAATTATGAATAAGATATTTACATGTAAGAAGGGCAGAGTCATAAATCATGGAGAAAATGTTGGCCAATTGAAACCCATGTGAATCGGAAAACACGAAAAAGTTTAAATTGTAATGTGGGCATTAGAGGGTTATATAATGTCTTAGAAAGAACATGTGGGCAGTCTCGTTTTGGGCCAAGAAACGAAATGCATGAACAACAGAGGAGTGTTTGTGGATCCAGAATGAGCCTGAGTATGAATGTCGCTTCAAACGCCCTACCTGGCCAAACAGCAACCATGCATGGGACACGTCGTCTGCCGGTTGAATTGTGTTTGTGTCATCAACACGGAGGAAGTTTGCCTGTTCATTGTGATTGTTGGAATGTGCGGCTATGTTTCGATGTGTGCAGGTAATGTTGACTTTTTTCTATAATTGTGTACATAAACCTTAGACCTGACTCGTTTTATGTACAAGCTGAGGAAACAGCGAGTGGAAGAATAAAGTATGAAACAGTCTTGTGTTGTTCGCTGTCGTCCACATTTTCTACTGGTCGTGTTGATGTCAGGATGTGAAAGAGTAGTCTGCAGTGACTAGAGCCAAAGCCACTAAGAACAGAGTCATTGCACGAAATGGGAGCTCGTCGATCAAGCAGAGAGAGCTCAATTTATTTTCAATATTCCCCATGTAGGTTCCGGGGCCCCGTTGTGAGGAAAACAAGAACGGACCCACTGTACCTCCAAAATGCATGTTGTAGAAGTCGACTAATTGGAAACTTCCTTTGAAGTCAGAGTGCATGTATCCGACCAGCAAGGAACAACCAAGCACACACAAAAAACCCAGTATTTGTGCCAGGGCACAAAACCAAATTCCAAATGGATGAACAACCAGGACTCTCCATTGGAGCTTACAGCCGGTGAACAAAGACTAAGAAGATTTTCAACATGGTTCTTGCAACCTATCTATCTAATTTTCTGAGTAGACAACAATGCTAACCTTGTCCTTCAACTGTTGACACTGCTGTAGGGACAAGGTGAAGAAGATGATAGCTTCGTTCAGCCACTTCACCGCAGCTTCTATCTGAAAATAACAAAACATTTTGGTCAGCTTCTTTCTTAAATCTCTTCTATTATTTCTCCAGTCCTGCGGTGCAGAGAAGAATAAACAGGGCTTATCAAGATGGGGAAAAGATGCTGGTGCTCATTATGAAGTAACTAAAAGAAAAGCACCAGTACTTACCATTAAGTGTTAAAAAAAAACAATGCTGGTAATCACCACAAAGTGTTTTAAAAACCAGTGCTGATACTCAATACAGAGTGTTATTAAAAAAAAAAAATATCTACCCATCATAAAGAGTCTACTATAGTAACGTACGTGGACATGTGTGCGTGTTTGTAGCAAAGGGAGAACTGACCTGAACTCTGTGAGTGATCTCCACCTTGTGCTGGTTGTTTTGGTGCAGGCAGTAGAGGGCAAGAACCAACTTCGATGTGTGGATGTAGAAGGAGATGGCAACATCGCTGGGCAGCGGCGGGTTGAACATTTGCTGACAGGAAATCAATGTATTCTATTATGCTATTCTGTCTGAAGACTGGTATATAATAAAATGAAATTTCATACTTTCTTCTTAAGCCTTTGAAATAGGGACTGGCAGATTGTGTTGTAGTTTACAGCTAGGGTGCGATATCTGCGCCTTTCAGCCCACAATTTTCAATGTCAACAAACCCTTAATTGTCACCTTTTACAATATGCTAATCAAGGAAGCAGTGGGGGAGGGGGGGGGGGGGGGGGGGGAATCTATTCTTCTTTCCACCAAATGGGACCCCAAAACCCACAAAGGGATGTCATTCTGTCCAAGACTAGAAATGTTATGTCAAGTCGACCAGCCCAGTGACTGTTGTGCCATATCAATCTGATGAATGTTGTGAAGTTTTCAAGATGTGACTTTTCCATTCCGGCTTATAGTGCAGTCAGGCTTACAATTCAGTCAGGCTTATAATTTAGTCATGCTTACAATTTGGTCAGGCTTGAGATTTGCTCAGGCTTACAATTCAGTCAGGCTTATAATTCAGTCAGGCTTATAATTCAGTCAGGCTTATAATTCAGTCAGGCTTACAATTCACTCAGATTTACAATTCGCTCAGGCTTACAATTCAGTCAGGCTTACAATTCACTCAGATTTACAATTCGCTCAGGCTTACAATTCAATCATAAATGTATTCTTCAGATCCTCTTCTCTTTCTACATTCACACTTAAAAGCACAGCTGGCATAATGTGTTGTGGTTTACAATCTAGGCCGCAATATCTGTGTCTTATGGTCCAAAATATATGATTTCAACAAACTCCTTTTATATCACCTTTTACAATTTGCCTGTTAGGGGGAGGTGGATCTATTCTTTTCTTCTTTGCCCGGCTCTCTAGCATAGTTGGTTCAAGCTGACATCACAGTGACCGGGTAACGAACTCCTTGTGGTCCGGGTTCACGCCCGGGGGTAGGCAGAAAAGCCACATTTCTCCTAGATTTACGCGGTACCCATTATGGAATCAAGGCCGAAGGGTTGCGATATCCATAGTACCGAGCCAAAGGGTTAACAACTCATGGTTTTTGGATATTTAAAAAAAAAATTTCATTTCTTCCTCCAAAATGGAGCCCAGAACCCACATGATAACAGCGCAGAGATTTTCCTTGGACTATGTCATTATTAAAGAAAACAAAAACATCCAGCCTCTAACTCCAGGACAGCATGTTATTTTTCTTGTTAATCATTTGATTGAGTGCACAATTGTTTTGTGCCTGTTTACAGCACTCAAGAGGGGCGAAGACACTGGGGAAGTGGCCAGGCAACCACTGTTGAGAGAGGCCAAATGTGCTGGACTGGATTCCAATCATAATATCGAAGTGATTGCAAGGAGTAGAACAGAATGGAGAAATACAATGTCAGCCCTATGTGTGATTTAACAGGACGGACAGCAGGATGATCATGATGTTTACAGCACAGCTGTGATGTTTTGCCTTTCGGCAGACACATTTAATTTCCTCATCAGGCACCTGTCAGGGTAAGCTTCTCAGATGTTAGTCATTAGTGACAGGAAGCAGACTTTTGCTTATTACATGGAACTTACCAAGTTTTGATTTTCCAGTAGATCTTGGAGAGTTTTACGTTTGGGCAGGGAAAGGCATTGTCGGCAGTTCATTAAACTCTCCATCAGCTCATCAAGTAACTGAAACAATTTAATTGTTCAAAATGTCATGTCATGCCAATCGGTCTCACAATCTCAGGTAATTTGAACATATAATTTCACTACACATAACATCTTTAAGTACCTTGCTGCCAAGCGTGGATGATAATGTCAGTAATTATCAGTTGAATGTTGAATAAGGAATCAACATCATAGCACTCGGGACACTCCCACAAGCACTCTGTCCCCATCTTCAGCAGCAAGCGAAGAGTTAAAATTCTGATGGTACCAGTAACTGTCTGATTGTACTTCAGTCTCACCTTCTCCCAGAGTGTCGAACATTGGCCAGATGCCCCTTGTAACCCCTCGCAGTGCCATTCCCCTCAGACCGTAATGATCTATCTGTGCCTTGGCACTATTTATTCGCTCCAAAGGACCCTCACAACATCCAGCTTGTCATACATTATTTCACCATTAAGTGGTGCAAAACCGGCCAGTCTATCTGCCTGCTCATTTCCCATCGGCATAATTGAAGAAAATATCCAAAGGATGCTATCAGTTCTTGTGCTGACACCCTTCCACGCCATAACAAAAGGCTGTCAAGAATATTTTCACTCTATCTTCCTCTATATCTCTTTTCACAAATCTATCTTGCAGTCACAATGTGTTCCAATTTCTCTTTACATACTGTGGCCAAAAGAAATAATAACTGTCTCCTTCTGACAATTGTGATAAGTTGACATCAAGGACTATATATATTATCTCTCTGGGCTAATGCCCAGAAACTTTTCCTTGGCAAATTGATGTGATAGTTTTTACTTGCACTCCACATCCTACGAAAGACAAATGCTACATAATTTTTATTCTGGGAACTAGAAAGACATAATTTAGCTTCAGCACAGAATCTACTGCAGTCTCCATGCATGACATCAAACCATTGAAAGTAATAGTAGTTTTAAATGAACAATATTCTGTTCAACCTTCAACATTATAACTGGAAAAAAGTTTGCATCAAATTAAGAACTTTGAATTTCGCTACTTTATAATTTATAAATATAATAATTTCTTTCATTGAATTTTAATTTAGTCAATATCTGCTTTATGCCACTGGTATCGCAGTATAACAGACGATAAGTCGCCAAGCTACAGCACACTGGTATCACAGTATAACAGGTGATAAGTAGCCAAGATACAGCACACTGGCATTGCAGTATAACAGATGACAAGTATCCAAGCTATAGCACACTGGTATCGCAGTATAACAGATGATAAGTAGCCAAGCTACAGCACACTGGCATCACAGTATAACAGATAATAAGTAGCCAAGCTACAGCACACTGGCATCACAGTATAACAGATAACAAGTAGCCAAGCTACAGCACAATGGCATCACAGTATAACAGGTGATAAGTAGCCAAGCTACAGCACAATGGCATCACAGTATAACAGGTGATAAGTAGCCAAGCTACAGCACAATGGCATCACAGTATAACAGGTGATAAGTAGCCAAGCTACAGCACACTGGCATCACAGTATAACAGATAAGTAGCCAATCTACAGCACACTGGCATCACAGTATAACAGATAACAAGTAGCCAAGCTACAGAACACTGGCATTGCAGTATAACAGATGACAAGTATCCAAGCTATAGCACACTGGTATCGCAGTATAACAGATAATAAGTAGCCAAGCTACAGCACACTGGCATCACACTATAACACATGATAAGTAGCCAAGTTACAGCACATTGGCATCACAGTATAACAGGTGATAAGTAGCCAAGCTACAGCACACTGGCATCACAGTATAACAGATAAGTAGCCAATCTACAGCATTCTGGATTACATGGTATGCTGTAAAGTCACCAGTTGTTTTAGTCCCTTATCTTATTATATAAAATATTATCCTGTTCATACCTTCTGGCTTATGATCAGAATGGATAATATAGAGTGATTTTAATTATGTTCATTACTTTATGGTTTAAAACAGCTGACTGACTCAGTCAGTTGAAAGAACCAGAGCACTGTATTTAGGTTGTGAATTAGACACAACAGACTCCACAGCCATGAGTACAGGAAAGTAGGAAAGTCAAGACTGGGAACTTGGAACTCTGCCCATTTGGACAAGCGTTTCAGAATCCAAACATGTGCTGCAGACAATCTCTCAACATGCAGTAGAGAGATCCCAGGTCCTGCCAGCTGGCATTGCGGTGGAATCCAAGCTGTGTGGATTAGTGGAGGACATGAGTCAGACCACAGCTGTCACAGAGACCTGTGGCCTTCTCATATGGAAAAAGAAAATCAGATAAATGCTAGGAATAAAGCCGGTCTTACAGGTCATCAAATGAAGTGGTTTGGACACCGAACAAGAATGTCCTGGTACTATCTGCCACAGCGAGCCACACTGAAATGTTACTTTGGGTATAGAGCGAGCAGAAGACCTAGGAAAATACGGAGTGATGGCATTAAGAACAGCTTTACAGAAATGAACTTGAGTCTTGATAAGCTATTGATAGAGATTATCAACGAGTGTTACATCTCCCCCGACACTTTGCTGAGGTACAAGGTGGAAGAGAAGAAGTGAAAGAGAATGCCTATGAAAGCTGCATCAAACTTAGTAGTCCTTCAATGAGACAACCTTAAATTCTGTTGAATAAATACAATGTGTTGTGAGAAAGTAGATTAGACATGGTACGGTAGATTAAACAGAAACAATAATGAGTTAACCGAATGGGTAATGAAAGGAAAGGCAAGTCCAAAAAAACTTAGATGTCAGATGCAGCCTTAACTCTTTGAGTCCCAGGGGGTTTAGCATCAGAGGCCCAAGGGGTAGCCAAAAGAGACGTAAAATCGGTGCATCTTGCGTTCACTGGGCTTCTAGTTAGGAGCCTATGAACGAATGATACGTTTCTTGGGACTCAAAGAGTTGACATATTAGAGCAGCATAATACTGAAAGTTAAGAAACTAAAGGTACATTTCATGACAGTGGCACATTGGGCATATAAGGCTACTTACTTATATTTGTATAGACCAAATGACCTTTGATAGATAATGTGGTCATCATCATACTGGCCACCTTTACTTTCCAAGACTTACCTGGTACCCATTTAAGACTGGGTCGACCTCGGAGCCAAGTCACGTTTATATTTAAAAAAAAAAAAACAGGCATAATGTGGACTGAAACCCACCACCTTCGGATTTGCAGGTGAGCCTCTAGCTGCTGCTCCCAAGTTAAGTAAGTAAAGGGATCTTTTTAGGTCATTGGCACATCAAGCATTATGATTCTGTTTTTTTTGTTGTTGCTTGTTCTTTACCCCACAAACCAGCCAATGAAAAAGCTTCTATCAAGATAGCTACTGCAGCAGTGAGGACGGTTTGTTCCTGCACGAACTGATCTGAAAGACTAGAGTCTGATAAGGCACTTACCAAGAAAACCTCCCTCACAGATCTATACTCGTACGATGAGTCATGTTTGGATGCAATCTCTAGGGCGTTACATAAGTGGTTCCCTGCATCACGAACCTGAAGACATTATAACCAACATGAGTGGAGGCAATCTGTATTATCTTTCTCTCTCTCTCCTCTCTTCCTCCATCTTTCTTACATTCACCAATTTTTCTTTCCTTTTTCTCTCCCCTTTTCCCATAACATCATCTTCCCCTCTATTCCCCCCCCCCCCCCAACCCTCTTTCCCTTCTACCCCTCTCACATTCACTCATTTTTTCTTATTTTCTCTCCCACTTCACAAACTATCTTCTCTACCTCCCTTTCTTTACTCACTCCAATCTCTCATCTGTTTACTTTCCCCTCACCTCACAGGTCAAATGAATATTGCCAACTCTGACTCAGTCAACAGCAAGCTTTTCAAAGTGAGGATTATATAAATCTTAAAATCAATTATTGATTACAAAAATCCCAATTCTTGTTCAAGGTCATACTTTTTTCTGTGTTGTAGCTATCCAGCCAGCGATCCTTGCAAGTCTGACTGAGCTATGTTTTGGTAACACTTACACCGTAAGCGTGGACAGCCCAAATGAGGAAATCTTTATATTTTGAAAGAGGCTTCCAGCGGCGTGTTCCAGAGCAGGGCTGTAAAAGTTGGTACTTTTCTACAAATCTGGAACGTACATTTTGTACCACGCCAAATGTTTCGATACATTTTAGCTTTCTCTTTCTTTAGTGTAAAGATTTGAAAAAATAAAAAAATCACTCTTCATTGCAGACTTTAACCATAAATGCATTGATGAGATCAAAGTTATCGCTCTACGACATTAACTGCACCAGTTAGAAGCCATCACAATAGATGTGTAACAAACTGAGGGAAAAAACAAATTTCTGGTCATTTATAAGCTAAGCTAGTTATATACGAGTTTTTAAAAAAAAGATGTACTGGTTTTTTAATGAAGAATTAAAACTCTGGTACCTTTTGGTGTGTTTTAGTACCTTTCCCAAAAAAAAAAGATTAATACTACCCCCCCCCCCCCCCCAAAAAAAATTCAGCAGCCCTGTTCCATAGCCCCATTTTGGGGTGGGGGTTCTACATGCACACAGCTCACTAATAAATGACAGGAACTTTTCCATCTTTCCGGACGATAGTGTTATATTCTGGCCAAGATGGCGACGTAAACAATGTCGGCGAAAATTGTGACTAAAAGAAGTGTTTATTCCCGGAAAGAATGTTCAATGTGTTAGATTAGTGTAGTTATTCAGTTGAAGATGAATTCGCGAGAGGCCCGGCAAGTCGGCGGAGGATTCAGCGGTTCAAAAAGAAATGCCCAAGATGAAAATCGGAGATGTTTTAGAAATAGGGAAAATAGAGGCCAGCAGAAGGTTAAGACCAGGGTAGGGACAATCAATATATGTGGATGGGTCAATAAAGAAGAACAAGTGATAGAATGGACACCTAACAAGAATGCTCTGGTACTATCCGCCACAGCGAGCCACACTAAAATGTTACAACGGGTATAGAGCGAGTGGAAGACCTCGGAAAATATGGAGTGATGGCCAGCCTTACAGAAATGAAAATAAGTCTTAATAGTGCTCTTGACAGAGCCCATCAACGAACATTACATCTCCCCCCAAAACTTCGATGAGGTACAAGGTGGAAGAGAAGAAGAAGAAGTGTTATACTGCACTAAGAGGAGGCATGGGACTCACAGTGACTAGCAAGACCCGCCAGAATGTTCCATTGCTGTCAACATTTATGTTCTCTGTTTCTTCTCTGATGCTCAGCTCTCATCCTTTCTTCCTTCATTCTCATTCCTGCTCTGCCCCCTTTACACAACACGGTCGATGGCATTCTGTTCTCACAAGTCCTCTTAAACACCTGTATCATTCATGTCCTGCTAGCACACATCTTTACATAACTACTAATAAATAAGCATGTGTAAAAGGAGACTAAGGTTTCTGAAAATGGATATTTTGGAAAGGCACAGATATCACAGGCTAGCTGTAAACTACAAAACAATATGCCAGTACCCCGTGTAAGAACAAATGCAGAAGAAGATATATCCTGTCAGAGATCACCAGATGTGGACAAGCATATGGCACTTGATGATATTCCAGCTATACCATAATTTTCACGTATGGTTCTTCCTAACTCCAAATTGAGAAAATTGACCTGAGCTTTCAGGTTAACCAAGCTTATATTGAGTACAATGAAATGTTTTGGGAAGTTAAGACTATAAAATATTTGGAGCAAACTTCACATACTCAATATGCCCTAAGGTGTAGATTAGGCACTATAAGTAAAAGTAGTAAGTACAGGACTCTTGTACTCGCCTTCAGGCATTCTGGGCACATAGGGCTCAACCTATATTTTAAAGACCAATCAGCACGCGGTGGGTGATGCGGTCAACATTACTCTGGCTGCCTTTACTTCCCAGGATTTTACCTGGTACCCTTTTAAGGCTGGGTGACATTTTTAAAAAGTCTGGTCCCATAAAGACTTGAACCCATGACCTTCTGATCTGCAAGCAAGGGTCTAGCCGATTAGGCACTATATTTTTTTTAATTAGTTCAGAAAATTCCCATTCTGGAGAAAATAACAACATACCCAAATCTCCCTCCATAATTAGCATGTTGCAAAAGGCGACTAATCAGGATTGTTTTCATTGAGGTCAAAGTGCATTTGCCGGAGAGGCGAGAAACCAATATTCAAATAAGCCAGACCTGTAAAATGGATGTGCCCGCAAAAACTCAAGTTCTTGAACAAAACCAAAGTCCAGAGGTGGATAAACATCAAGAACTTTCCAAAGGAGCTTACAGCCGTCAAAAGCTAAGAAGAAGAGCTCAGGAAATGTTACGAGGGAAAGGCCAGAAAAATTAAAACATTCATGCCAAACTAAATATCTACCTGCAACAATTTCCAAAATGACCCTGGCTTGAAGCTTGTCTTAAACATATGGTGCTCTTTTCCCTGCTTGTGTTTGAACTGAATGTCCTGGCAAAAAAAAAAAACAATTACAGTAATGATGGAATGATACAAAACTACTGACCCCTAAACAGTTTATCAAACCATCAAGAGTCACAGAATAGATTAAAATGTTTCTCGATATAATTTAGGAAATAATATTGTTCTAAGAAAAATTTAAATGTCAACAAATAATTACAACTTCCTCTTCTTCCTCTAGTTACCTCATCTTCTTCTCTTACTCGAGTTACTTCATCTTCTTCTCTTCCTCCAAATACTTCATCTTCTTCTCTTCCTCCAAATACTTCATCTTCTTCTCTTCCTCCAAATACTTCATCTTCTTCTCTTCCTCCAGTTAGCTCATCTTCTTCTCTTCCTCCAAATACTTTATCTTCTTCTCTTCCTCCAGTTAGCTCATCATCTTCTCTTCCTCCAGTTAGCTCATCATCTTCTCTTCCACCAGTTACTTTATCTTCTTCTCTTCCTCCAGTTAGCTCATCATCTTCTCTTCCACCAGTTACTTTATCTTCTTCTCTTCCTCCAAATACTTTATCTTCTTCTCTTCCTCCAGTTAGCTCATCATCTTCTCTTCCACCAGTTACTTTATCTTCTTCTCTTCCTCTAGTTACCTAATCTTCTTCTCTTCCTCTAGTTACCTCATCTTCTTCTCTTCCTCTAGTTACCTCATCTTCTTCTCTTCCTCCAAATACTTCATCTTCTTCTCTTCCTCCAAATACTTCATCTTCTTCTCTTCCTCCAAATACTTCATCTTCTTCTCTTCCTCCAAATACTTCATCTTCTTCTCTTCCTCCAAATACTTCGTCTTCTTCTCTTCCTCTTGTTACCTCATCTTCTTCTCTTCCTGGGTTACTTCCTTTTCTTTTTTCTTTTTCCAGTTACATCTTCTTCCCTTCCTTTTTCTTCTTCCAGTAACATCTTCTTCCCTTCCTTCAGTTACATCTTCTTCCCTTTCTCCAGTTACATCATCTTCTTCCCTTCCTCCAGTTACATCATCTTCTTCCCTTCCTCCAGTTACACCTTCTTCCCTTCCTCTATTTACTTCATCTTCTTCCTTTCCTCCAGTTACATCAACTTCTTCTCTTCCTCCGGTTACTTGATTGTTTTTCAGTTATTTACTCTTCTTCTCTTCCTCCACTTACATCAACTTCTTCTCTTCCTCCACTTACATCAACTTCTTCTCTTCCTCCAGTTACATCATCTTCTTCTCATCCTCTGGTTACTTCATCTTCTTCTCTTCCTCCAGTTACTTCATCTTCTACTCTGTCTCCAGTTATCTTGTCTTATTCTCCTCCTCCAGTTACCTCATATTCCACCAGTTGCATCATCTAAGTGTTTGGGGGAAGATGTAACGATCTTCTGTGTGCTGTTTCTGATGTGCTGTATAAGTTATCTTCATTTCTTTAAGGCTGTTATTGATGCTGTCATTCTATGTTTTGTGTGGTCTGTCCCTGACTCTTTGTCTATTATATTTTATCAGCGAGGTTCTCCGTGGCAGTTAATACCAGGCAAAACCATCTTATCTTTTCTTTGAAGAAACCACCCCTGATTATCTGTCTTTTACAAACTACAGGTTAGAGGGTAGCGGGTCTATTCTTTTCTTCCCCAAAATTGGACCCCAGAACCCACACGGGAAGCAAACAATTCAATAAGGCAGAACTTGCAATGTTATCACTATAATGTTTAGCTGTCCAAACAACAGGAAGCAAGAAGAACAGAAAAAAAGGGGGCACCTACTGCTGCCTGTATACAATCTCCTCTGAGGGTGACAACACTCTTGAGGTTCAGACTTGTTCCACTGTTGAGATTAAAAATATAAGTAAAAGAGTGACTTTCCCGCCATGAGGTGTACAGGGAATATGGTACTAGGACCATAACTTTATAATCTACACTTGATAGATTATGTGATAATTTGCTGCCTTCACTTCCCAGAAAATTTCCTGGTACCCATTTTACATAGGGCTGACCTGGCAGTCATTCCAATCAATTAGAAACCTCAAGATGAAATGAACACATGACTTGCGGGCTGACAGGCAAGTCTGCTAGCTACTTAACTACTGTGGATGTTTATAACAAGAATATGACACAGCACCTGCAACTGATGTGTCAGCTTGACACTAGCCTGGATCACACTTAATCGAAAGGTTCTGGGTTCAAGCCCTGAACGGAGCTGACTTTTTTCCTTTAGACGGAGCTGACTTTTTTTCCTTCAAAAATGACTTTGGCTTTCAGGTGACCCGGCGAGTGAGTACCAGGTACAAGTCCTGGGAAGTAAAGGTGCCCGGCGTGGTGTTGACCACATCACCCACCCAGTGCTGATTGCTCTATAAAATATAGGTCTAGCCCTGTATGCCTGAAGGCGTGGAAAAGGGTCCTTAACTTTACCCGCAAATGAGTTAAAGTAACAATTTTAAGATCCAGCATTTTATCCTGTGGCAACCTTTAAATGTGGGTCATGGGTTCTAATTCCAATCAAAATCTAATTGAAGTTTTTGAACTGAAATGCTAACAGAAACATTCTTAGAAGACCTTGGTCCAAGAAAAAAAAGAGAAAAAAAAAACACGGGACATCCTGGATGATCTGAGCATCGAGGAGAATTGGCTCACAAACAGCATCCTGTACCAAAAGTTGAGGTGTGGTGGCCATGTCAAACATCATTGTGGCCTGGAGAGAACACTAACAGAGGAAAGCTTTTGGAAAACAAATGCAGAGGCTGACCTCTGCCAACATGGGATATAAGACACTGAAGATACAGTAGCTATGAAAGCACTAAGGGCCGGAGAAAGAGAAAGTTTCAGGTGTGCCGTAAGAAAAAAACAAATCGTCTGAAAGGGACCTGCCAAATGATGATGATGATGAGCACAAAAGAATTGTAAATAAGTGGAGGATATCACACGTGCACATATCCCAGAATAAAGATATAAAAAGGGTCCTTTTTCATGTTTGTGGCAAATCAAGAATATGGGGCTAGACCCATTTTATCAACACTCATTTGGCGATGTCGTCAACATCATGCCACCTGCTTTCATTTGGCGATGTCGTCAACATCATGCCACCTGCTTTCATTTGGCAGGATTTTACCTGGCACCAAGAGAGGAAGAGGAAGGCCAAAGAGAAGATGGGTGCAGAATGTGGTGGATGATCTCCAGATGGATGTAACGGATGCAGAACATCTTGCGTGTGACCGAGAATTTTTCTCGGAGGGTTGTTATGGGAGCAAGGTTCTGCAAAGGACATGCTACGGACTGACTGATCCACTTTAAGGCTGTGTCGACCTAGCAGCCTAGGTAAATTTTGAAACAAATCCACCTCAAGAATTTTGCTATTCTGCTACCTTGCCTGGAAATGCAAACCATGATCATCATTATCATCATGTAGCAGGTCCTTTGTAGAACGTCGCTCTCATCCCGGTCTGCCAGAAAGAAACCCGGTCTCTTGTCAGCTCTCCCGCCTCGTGTACTTTCATATTCAAGGAGTCACTTATATCCTGTGCCCATCTTGTGTTGGTCAGCCCTGCCCCTCCTTCCTAGTACCATTTTGTCTGTTATTTTTTTTTTCCAATCCGCCTGGAGCTTGATATGACCAAAATATTTCATCTTGCGAGACAAGATGCTGTTTATCAGCCAATCTTACTTGATGTTCAGATCTCTTAACATTTCAGTATTTATTCTTTTCTTAGTCCGCAGTATTGTGAGAATCTTTTTGTAGCATTTCAGCTCAAAGGATCCTATTTTCTAATAAGGAATAATACGAACAAGAATTCTTTAAAGGCAACAGTACTGGACTTACTTGGGAGGTGTCAGGAGAATTCTCTGTGGCTGGATGTCTTCGTGTTGGGGGCCCTTGTCTGTGACAGTCAGACAAATGATTAATATAACTGACCAAAATATTACTACAATCATGTCAGCGCGCAGAGCAAATATAAATTATAAAAAAAATAATCTTACAACAAAGTTAACAATAAGGGCAAACATAAATAAAAAGTATACTAAAATCACATCGGCAACAGGAGTGACAATAAATAAAAATATTACAATCATAGCAGCGACAGGAGCAAACAAAGATAATAAACGATAAGAAAAATTAATAAAAATTTAAATCATGTCAATATATATTATAAATAACATTAATATTACAATCATGTCAGCATTTGGAGCGAATACTCATTATTCCCTTCATTTATCTTTATATATTTTGAAGCAAAAATTTACAGAAATACATTTTTAATGAATTTACTAGTGACCTGTGTAAAACCTTTTTTTTATATATATAATAAATAGGATTGCTTTCTGGAATTCTTACAGGGTCACGACTCATCTGTTTAGGGGTTTCCTTGTCGAGATGGTTTACTTAGCTCAGAAAAACTATGCTGTGCTGACCCCACTGCTGGAGTTTCTGCCACTTCTAACAGATAACTTCAACTACACACACATTATAACAAACATCCCACCAACCTGCAGTCCCCTGGAATGGCAAACAATTATAGCATTCCTGAAACAGAAACAACAAGAAATTCAGCAACAGTTCTTGGCAGCAGAATTCAAGAATATTTAAGCTAACAAATGCCCCATGTGGGTTCCATTAGGGGAAAAGAGAATAACCCACTGACACCCCCCACCCCCTCTCCCGCCAAACATGTTGTAAAAGTTAACTAATTAGGGGTGCTTCCTTTAAAGTCTAAATGCATTTACCCGAAAGACGAGGTACCAACAGTTTGTATACAAATAAGTCAGGTTGTAAAAGAGATATGCACACAAATCTCAAGTTCTTGAACAAGACTTTAAGTCCAAAAATAAACAACCAAAACTTTCTGCCGGAAGTTATATCTAGCAAACGCCAAGAAGCACAGCTAACAAATGCTTACAAATATCATCTCAGTGGTCAAAAGGTGAGAGATTATATTTTTTTCTGCTTTTTATCTACTCCTTCCCCATGAGGGTTCCAGGAGAGAAAGAACAGACCACATGCACCCTATCAAGCATGTCATAAAAGAACACTAATTAGGTTGGTTTTATGTCTGTTCTATAATCGGATGTGTTCAGCCAAAAGGTTCAGAAAAAAATGAATACCATACAATTTTTCAGTAAGGAAAGGCAATGAAGAAGTGATTTCTGAACTTGTTGATTCTTTAAACTCCTGTATGCTGCCAATGGACTCTTTATTCTCAGATATTTGAAATCAATGTTTGACTCTTTTAGTGGTTTGAATATGTTGAAATGTTTTTTTTTAAAGCTGCGGCTCTAGAATTACCATAATAGGAAGCTTCTGATCTTCAAATTGAGTTCCCATTTCATTCGTTGACCCCTTTGACTTATATAACCACACTTCACATTGCAGGACACTTGTGTGTAGTTGACGACAAAGTACACATCTGCTTTTAGTTTTTCTGTGTTCTTAGGATGGATAATATGGTGTTTCATGTAAACATCTTCCTGTTGTGCCATATAGGACTCACAGTCAAATCCTCCATTCCGTCCTAATCCTGTGCAATTAGTTCAATATCACGGATGGAATCTAGTCCAGCTCTCTTGGCTTTCCTCAACAATGTTCGTTTTAGTTCTTCTCTTAGACATCCTCCCTTTCTTCAATACATTTCTTTTCTATTTCAATGACTGTCTAACGATTCACTGCTCGCTTCGTGCGGAGTGGTAAGCTTCACTTGCAAGGTCATGGGTACGGGTAGTGAGCATTCTTTGGATCTTTTTTCAAGGCAGGTGAGGTGGGGAATGAACAGACAAGACAAATAAATTAGCTGGATCTGCACTGCTGGGTGGTCATTGATACATGACAAGGCAGACGTGGTCAGAGCCCTTTGGGAACAAATAATAAAGTCAGAAGAGAAACTAGATTATTATGGGCTGGAGAGAATGATGCACCTGGGTGTGACCAGAGAGTTCGGCCGGCACACTATGCTCAGAGGAAAGGCAAGACGGACATAAAACCAGACTAAGACCGGCAGTATTACTATTTCAACTCTGCGCTGGCTCCTGAGGATGGGGATGGAGCACATATGGGGTGTACTGTGATGTCAATTCTTGACTCGACTCAGTTGCTCACTTCCTCTCAGGAGTGTCCAGTGTAGTATCTTCCATTACCTGTCAAAACCAGTCCTGTACGTATTACCGTCTACAAATCAGGAGCAGGGAATGTAAATAAGATCATGGAACTGCTCCAAATAATACAAAAGCTAAGAAAACAAGATATTTTTGTTTTTAAACATATCTAACCTGTAATGTTTCCCTGATGTCCTGTAGCACCGGATGCACCTCCTCTCGAAGCAACCACTCCAATTCTTTCTTCTGTACATATGTTTTCATGGGAAAACAAAATAGAAGCGAATATAAATTTAAAATTATGTTAATTTATTTACATATGAAAGTTAAAAAGAGACACAATCCACAACAATTGAAATGTGGTTAACTATTTGCAGTATGTACCAAAGAACAATACATGATTTTATTTCTTGTTTAGTCAGAGCACAGTATAGAAATATGATATTAAATTTGCCCTTTGGGAAAAAATATATATTTGCCCCATAGAAGTCTGAACAATGCATCAACATCATGGCACACGGCTAGTAACCAATAAGTGCTCCGTTCTTCTTTTAACTCAAGTCTGAGTTCAAAGAAGCTCAGCACAGTGCACAGGCTCTGAAGCACCGGTGAGGATCCTGAAATACTTTAGGTAGATTTTCAACTCCAAATTTTGCCCGGGCAGCATTTAGCTTGGCCTAGTAAAGAGAGAATGTAGAGTGAAAATTAACAACAAAATGTCTCATTTGTGTAAACCACCACTAAAGGCTGTTGTCAGGAGGGCTAATAGACTGTGATGGCTGGGGCATACAATGCAGATTGCCAGATAAGGAGAGATGAAAACTGTGTACATAACAGCTGAATGGGAGCAGACTACGTGGCAGACCAAGAAGACAAAGGAAAGTTGACACACATACAGAGAGCGAGAAACCTTTGCAGCCAACAAAAGGAATGAGAAAACCAATAAAAAAAAGAAATGTAGGTGGGTCTTATCTCCAGCAATAAACCTCAAGGGCACAGAATATGAAAAATTACCCTGCAGGGAGGAATCTTTTGTCAGTGAAATACATCAGCTTGTGGACTAAACATGACCAATCTTTGCGGCGCTGGATCATGACTTCGTTATCCCCCTGTGGGTTCTGGGACCCTACTGTGGGAAAAACAAGAATAGACCCAGTGCCTACCCAAAAGCATGTTGTAAGAGTTGACTAATTGGGAGCTTCCTTTAAAGTCGGAGTGCATCTGCCTGAGAGGCAAGGAATCAACAGTCTGCATACAGATCTGTCAAACGAATGCACACGCAACACTCAGGTTCTGGAACAGGACTGCAGTCCAGAAGTGGACGAACAACCAGAACTTTCCCCCGGAGTTTACAGCCGGTGAACGAAAAGAAGAAGAAGATGACTTCGTTAAATTCTTTCATGCAGTTCTAGATGTGGCAATGCATATCCCATTGGCTTCTTAGTCGTGGGGGAGGGTGTATCAGTCCTTACAGAGACCAACCTCTGGTAACAGTAACAGTTTGGAAGTAAAAGTAGTCTCTTGACCTAATCTCAATCCTACAGATGAAAGGGTCAAGACCTTTTCGGGACTCAAAGCTGGTCCAGAGTCGAAGCATCAGATTTAAAAGAAGAAAAAAAACAGTGAGTAGTGAGTAGTGCAGCCACAAAATTCATAACCATCCATTTTTTTCACGAGTTTGTACAAGCTTTACTGAATTGAACGATAAAAACAACATTCTACAGTCCCTTAAAAAGTGTAAGCTTAATTACTACAAAACAACGCCTTGCTTTTGTTGTCAGGAGGTCATTCAAGTTGACTGACTGAAATTAAAAATAATTAAGAAAATCCAAAAACAAGATGCACCGCACCCTCCCATATTCTAGACATCTCTCACTCTCCTGTTAATTTTTAAAATCACATTAAATTGTATCTTTCATAATCCACAGCTGCACATGTATATAAGCAGAAATGCAATGTCCTCTAGTAGCAAAAGAAAACAACAACAAACCAAGACTTCGATCTCGGCTTCCTCTTTGCCCGCTGCTACGGTCGCCATCATCAACACCCGTCCAGGACAATAACAGCCCAGGGGAGGTCAGTCAGGGGGTCAAGCCATGCCAGCTTTCTCTCCTTGCTGTTTTCTAATATAGATGTGTATGGACAATTTCTTGCATGTTATGTTACTAGGGATGATATAACCCCTCACATCGGTGTTTGGTTGATATAATAGTACTAACTGTGCATTGCGATTATAGTGCATATGGATTAAAGAACATATTATTGGCATAAAAATTAATATAATAGGTAGTGTGCCGTGGTGGTAGGTGGAAGAATAATTTCTTAACCTCTCTTTTTTTTCCCTTCATCCTGCGGTAGGTTCAACTTCTTAATTTGAACAAAGAAGACAATTACACAAATGAAGAAGATAAATAAATCCGCTGTACCGTGAAGATTCACTTATCTACTTCATTTGTGTAATTTTTACTGTAGTATGCACCTGACGAGATGCAGTGAAATATGTCAGGTAATAAATTGTGCAATCTATTGTCTGTGTCTTCTTTGTTCAAATTTACAACGGGGAAACATTCATTTGAACTTATTAATTACCATTACCTCCACTATCTTAGACTCTAATATTTCTCCCCCCCCCCTTTTTTTTTTTGTCTACCCCACCCATTCTTTTCCCAATAATTCACTCTCCGTGTACTCCTTTCTTGGCCTACAACTTATTTTTCTCCTATATTCGTTGAATCCATTGCCTTTTCATAGCGGTGTGCAACAGTACGCAGCACCAGCATTTTGTTAGCACCAATTGTGTGTTTGTTGCTTTTGTTAGCGTGACTCTAATAGACACTTTGTAGTAAGCACCTCGCCTTTTAATACACTTTTCGCGAGTACTGACACCTTCTCAGCCGTGGTTAAATCATGCGTTGAAATTTTGATATTCATGAACTTAGTCGCATTTGTCCCTCCTCACTTATGTTTGTAACAGCGACTCACGTCCTACTTTAGCTATTATAGAGTCAGACGTGCAGCGACTATATCTTCATCTTCTTTATGTAGTACTAGCAATTTATACAAGGATATTCTATTCAACTCACCTAGTAATAATTTGGATACTGTTTTCTTTTTCAAAATTTGGTAATTATGTTTATACCCTTTGGTTATGAAATCTTGCATTGATTATACAATAATTATATAAAAATGTAATATTTGTGCTACTTCTGGGCGTTTTTCTGGTGGCATCTCGAAGTCATGGTAACTTCCGGCAAAACAGATTTGAACGCAGCAGACGATCTCGGAATATAACAAACATTGTGTAAGTTTCTTTTGAGTTTCTTACACACAAGTGTTTATTTTGACTAATATAGATAAGCGAATTGAAGATCAATATTATGTATGATAACAGAACAAATCGCAAGTCTGCGCAATAATTTACAGAATAGACCTCGATGAAGTCATTTGAATTCTGCTGGCTAGTAAAGTATAGTATTATATAATTTGGGGATATTTCTGCAAATATAAAATAAAAACAATAATGTTGATTAAGCAGACCAATGAAATTCACATCTGTACATTAGTAGTTACTTAAGTTACAAGTAAATATGGGAGAAGAAAGGCGAAAGAGAACTTTCTTTGGGTGAATTTACAGCTGTTTTAACCTTTTTACATATTTTATTGAACTCCAGTTCTCATTCTGCAGTTGTCAGATTTAGAATAATTCATTAATTGCTGCTTTGGATTGATAGATAAGTAAATGCGATTGATCAGTTAGTTAATAACCAAGAAGGGAAAGTGAAACAAGCCATAAAAACAGGATTACAAGTAACATAATAGACGTTATAGCTAGAAAGTTGGGCTGTACTGAATAGTGATTTTCACTGTTCGGCCGAATATGAATAGCAGAACCAACTATTTGACCGAATACGAATAGTGTATAATCATCATCAGGTGCCTTGCCGACTGGTGTGGGCATATATGCCTTGCCACAATCTGCGATCTCCTGCAGCATGTATTAGTTTGTGTGCTGACAAGACTGTCAAGAATCTTCTCTCATTGTCTTCCTCTATCCCTCCTTCCACAGATCTTTCCAGTGGTCACAACATGTTCCATTTTCCCTCTTCTCATAACATGGCCGAAAAATTATGACTGTCTGCTTCTGATGTCTGTGATTAGTTGTCTTCGGGCTCCCGCAACTTTAAAAAACCTCTTGGTTGCTTTATTTGGCTGTCCTAGGTATTTTAAGCATTGTTCTGTAAAACCACATCTCTGAGGCCTCAAGAAATTGTTAGGCCTGGCTACCGATTGTCCGGGACACAACGCATTGCCTTTAAATATAAGTGCTTACTTGACGAGGCTAACAGTGACTATTGAATAGACCACATTTTCCACTTTAAAATTTTAGGAAAAATGTATTCACAACCTTACTTATGTTCTGCACCTTTACGAATACAGATGGAGGATCAGTCGCACCTCGAGATAAATACAAAGACAATTTTTAGCACACTGCGGTTGGCATTTTATGCAGTATGATACACTGAGTGTGAAAAAACTCTTTTCGACAGTGGCGAGGAAAGACAGTTTAAATTTTAACTATCTTCATGCCTTCTTTAATAATGTCACAATATACAGCCCACTTTTCTTGATTTTTCACCGCAGCACCCCTGGCATAAGCACCCAGTTTAAGAACCACTGCTGTAATGCCTTGGTTGAGTCAGCAGACAAAAAGCTTGCCAGCTGCTGTACCCCACAACCAGGTCGCAGTTTCCCTGCTACGACAGACTTGGGCAACAGCGACTATTGTGGTAATGAGAGTTATTTCAGTCCGTCGCAGTGTATGCAAAACGGTTGTAAAGTAACCACTATTCATATTCGGCCCGACCGAAACTATTGGCCAAATAGTTATTAAGTCAACTTTTCCGCCCCGAAGTGAATACGAAGCGAGTACAGCCCTACTAGAAAGGCCCCGGTATCATGCAAAAGACATAATACAGTTATATTAAACATAACTACAAAAGCCTGATTATTTAAAGATTCGTTGGTTAAGTTATGTAAATGCTAAGACAAAAACAAATTAAACTGTAGGTAAAATAAGTGTTGAGGGGGAGTGGAGGGATGGTCAGAGTCTGTAAGAAATATGAGTATGGTCTAAAGCAGGGCTATATTCTGCTGGTGACTCAGCAAAATCTGGCCCTGAAGAGGCCTAGCACGGGGCCCACGGATCACCTGCCGATTTTATTGTATTAATGATCTATTTTTGCCGAGGCCTCTGGCCCACGATAATCTCTATTCCCCAACATCTTGGCCCTTACGTAAACTTAGTTGAATGGCTCAGGTCTGAAGAAAGAGGTGGGAATGACCAACTAATGAGCTGTGAGAAGATCCAGTTTGAAGAATAATTTTTGCTAAATGAAACAATGTTGGACTTTGAGGCTGTGCAGGGAAAAATTGACTGAAAGATTTCCAGAATTTAATTGACATTTCCTGGGAAGGAAAGAGAATGAGTTAGGGAAATGTACTAATATGCCTTTGTCTTAACCTTTACACTCAGAGAAGCCAGCAAACTGAAACTTCCAGTTGTATCCAATTTCCCATAATGTAACTTTTCTGACTCGTCTATAGTGACCTGTTTATGAAACACATAGTTAATGCTATTGATTGTTTTCACAAACGTTTTAGAGGTCAGAATATGGATAAATTAACAGATAATAGCATTTATGGAGTTTTTCCTTGAACAGAAAGCTTTTTAAAGCTAACTTGGCATTACATTTTCCTATAAGCCACTATGATAGAGGTCACAACATGAGTCACCCGACACTTACATTTTCAGGCCCTGTAGAATGTATTAAGTTTAATGCTACACGCGATTCATGTTTATTGATTACTCCGTACAATATATATATATATATATACTCACACTCTCACACACACATATAAATATATATATATATATATATATATATATATATATATATATATATATATATATATATATATATATATATATATATATATATATATATATATATATATACAGACACACACTCTCTCTCACACACACATACATATATTTTTTCTTTTAGGAGACCTTGAGAAAACCATATTTTGAGTAAGACAACTGAAGATGTCTTCCGACCGGCAAACCGAAGTGATACGTGCCCAGCTTGTGAGTAAGGCTGTGTTGAGTCCAGATGAAATGGAATTGTTTACCCTCACACAGTTAGCTGGCATCACAGTGGATCAAGAAGTTTTTAAGTGAGTTTTTCTTCTTCATATTCACTGGCTGTATGCTCCAGCGGAAAGTTCTGGTTGTTCATCTACGTCTGGATTTTATTCTGGTTCTAGAACTTGCATTTTGTGTGCATATCTGTTTTACAGATCTGGCTTATTTGTATGCAGACTGTTGGCTCCTCGCCTCTCAGGTATGCGCACACTGACGTCAAAGGAAGCACATCTAATTAGACTTTTATGACATTCTTATTAGGGAGGCAGTGGGTCTATTCTGGAACCCACACTGGGGGTGAGTTATCATACAAGGTGTTTGCTGATAAGTCTTAATTTAATAGTATTTACACTGCATACACCTAGTTTTATACACAGCATGTGCTTCACATATCCACCTGATTCATTACAAGTCAAACATTATTCTCGACATCCACCATTATTTTAGGTGCTTTATTTTTAACCGACCCCAACTGACGTCATGGGACAGTCCAATATTTTAGAAGGCGGTAAGAGCAGGTTTGCTGTGTTTTCTGTGCTTTATCTAATTTCTTCCGAGGCCAAGGTTTTCATGTGTTTACCTAACCCTAACCAAAATTATACACTTAATCTACCACTAAAATATTTGACTGTCCCCTGACCTGTGGATATCCCGTTTTTTGTTTTTTTGTTTTTTTGGTCCCTAATAAGAAAGTACCTTATTTTGTACATTCACCATAATTCTCCTCATGTCCATTAAGATTATCTACAAGGCCCCCGCCCCTCCCTTCCATCCCACAAATCCACCAAGATTTTATACAAGGCCTCACTCCACAAATCCACCACTCTTCTTTGCAAGTCCTTCATGACTCTTCACATGTACACTGTCATTCTCATGTTCGTCTTGATTTTTAAGTCCACCATGGTTCTCTACATATCTGTCCTAGGAGTTCCACGTGTCTGTCCTGATTTTCTCCCTGTTTGCCACACAAATGTATGACATATCACCCTGATAGTGAACAGGAGGATTGCCATATGTGTGTTTGTATAAGCCGCAATATTTTTAACGAAAATTGATGAACAAATAAACTGTGGCTTATATTCGAGAGGTTAGGCCTACACGTTGTTTTTACAAAATTTATTAATAAACAATAACAATTTTGAAACATACCTTATGAAAAAAATACGGATAAGTGACGCTATTGTTGTCTGTCACCAAATCGTGAGGCCATTTCATGGTGTAAAGTGCCTTGCCCAGCCATAACTGGCTGTAAATTCACACTGAGGAATTCCCATGATGTCTGATAATAGACGCGCTTCAAACTGTAACATTTCCACCATCATCTTGTTCTTAGAGTACATGCCGTGTGGCGTTGGTAGTCATGTCTATCCACAACCTTCTGTCTTGTGTACTTTCAGTCAACTCTGACACAGGCAGTGTTGTCTAGTATCTGAGTTATGAACACTGCAACGGATGTTACAAGGGGATCGGTTAAAGTTGGTTCTGGCAATTCTGACAACCATTTGGTGCCTATTTTATGAGGTTAGATTAGTCATGAATGGGTAGGAAACAAGACTGCAGTCACTTTTAAGGATTGAACATTGATCTGGTTTGGGAAGCAAATACACTAATGACAATGCCACTATTCTTCTGTCTGTATAACTGTCTAATCTGTCTATATACTTGTCTAATCTGTCTGTGTGCTTGTCAGATCTGTTTATATGCCTGTATAATAAATCTTTGTGCTTGTCTAATCTGTCTATATGTCTGTCTAATCTATCTGTGTGCTTGTCGGATCTATTTATATGCCTGTCTAATATATCTTTGTGCTTGTCTAATCTGTCTATATGTCTGTCTAATCTATCTGTGTGCTTGTCGGATCTGTTTATATGCCTGTCTAATATATCTTTGTGCTTGTCTAATCTGTCTATATGTCTGTCTAATCTATCTGTGTGCTTGTCTGATCTATTTATATGCCTGTCTAATAAATCTTTGTGCTTGTCTAATCTGTCTATATGTCTGTCTAATCTATCTGTGTGCTTGTCTGATCTATTTATATGCCTGTCTAATAAATCTTTGTGCTTGTCTAATCTGTCTATATGTCTGTCTTATCTATCTGTGTGCTTGTCTGATCTATTTATATGCCTGTCTAATATATCTTTGTGCTTGTCTAATCTGTCTTTATGCCTGTCTAATCAATCTGTCTGACTGACTGCTTACCTTACTTTACTTATCTTATCTATCTAGTCCACGTTGACATAAAACAAATATGGCAACCTCCAGGCCTGAGAAGTGCCGGATTTGTGAAGGTGCTCGATTTTTTATGGTTATATAGGCTGTATATGTTTAAAAGAAAGTGACTCCTTATGCAGTCCTTTAAAGAAAGAAAATCAAACATAAATTAAAAGCAAATGCAATGTGGATGTTCATCAACTAAATGGAATAAAAGATCCTCAGAATTTGAATTTGAAAATGCCCTCTGAAATCCGTGCCAGAAATCTGATGGCAGGAATTTTTAAGGGTAAACTCATATATCTGTTAAATTGCTTACTGAAGCAAGGATTTGTTGTGTATTTTACAGCTAACATGTCAGTGTTACAATGTTTCAGGATTATCCTGGACCTGTTAAAGCTGAATGTACCCCCCGCAAAGATCATGCAGACTTTGAAGTCGATGTGCTCCACTCGTAAACCTAGCACATCAAACACTGAAGCAAGTACACAGGATAGCTCATCTCTGTTGTTTGTGTCTGGTGTCTCCAAAACAAGTCACAGACATGGAGATAGCAGCCACAGTCGTGTGGATCTGACCTTGCAGTCAGATCAGTCTGGCAGATCTGAAAGCCAGGAAAGGAGCAGTAGTTTAGTCCAAACTTCAAGCAGATATGGCCAGGATGGCAGTGGTTATTCTGTATCGTCGCTGAGCAGATTGGATAGAGATGGCAGCAATACTAGCAGTCAGACTCGCTTCACGTCTGACTCTTCTTTTGGAAGAAATGAGTTGAGATCACAAGACCACATCAGAGAAAATCAGAGATCAGCAATGCGAGCTGACAGTTACATAACAGCACGACAGACTAACAACTCCAGTGATTATGACAGCTACCACAAGGAAAAGGCCAAGAAAAGGACATCTTAAAATTGTATGATTTATTTCTGGGCTACTTTTGATGTTGATCTCAATGCTGCAGAGTTACCTACTCTTGACAACACATTTCTGTTCTGAATTTGGAAATATCTATGCAATAAATACAGTTTGTTTCCACTTTTCCTAATCGCATAATCATATGTTTGTTGCTAATTATTGTTCATCTTCTCCAGACTATTCTATTTTATTTTTCCTGTCATCTCCGACTAGAGCATAGGCCATCAACCAATTCGTGCAAGTTCTTGGTAGACTGGTTTATGAGTATCTGGATTTTGCAGTTGCAGTTTTGAATGGGATCTGGTAGCCAGTCTCCTACCAGTCCTCCCTTGCTGCTTCTTATGTCATGCATGGCAGGTTTCAGTTGTGCAATTATTACTGGCTATATAGAGCCAGTTTTAACATATGACTGTGAATCCTAGACAGTTAATTTTTTTTTGTTTAAACCAAAGAATTTCGTGAGGTCGTGGAGCTGTGGTTTTACAGAAGAATCCTTAGAATTCCTTCGACAGCCAAAGAAAGCAACTCAGATGTTTTTAAAAAGGCAAGGGTTCAAAGATGGCTTATCCCAAACATCTAGATGAGACAGTCATAATTTTTTAGTCACGTTTTGAGAAGAAGGAAACTGGAACATGTTGTGACCACTGGAAAGATCTGGAAAAAAGAGCCAGAGGAAGACAACTTGAGACGATTCATGACAGCTTCTGTCATGGCAAGAAGGGGTGTCAACACACGAACTGATACATGCTGTTGAAAATTGTAGGTTGTGGAGGGGCATGATTGCCCGTGCAAGTCATAGTTTGCCTTTAGTGGTCACTTAATAACCGGGATCACATAATTAATCGCTGCAGTATAAATTTTTGTTTAGGCCTAAGGGGATGTAATCTCCGCTTCATTTATGTTTATTTATTATTACACCCTTCCTACATTTATATTTAAACAAATGTTTATGGTTATAGATGAATTTTTTATTTAACGTATTAATGACCTGTGGACCCAAAGGATGCCTGAGTGAAAGGGTTACAACTGTTCTCCAGGCTATTTACAAATGAACCAAAGTTACCCATGTGACCAAAAGAATCCAATTTTCAAACAGACATTTTTTATATTATAACTTTAATATAAAATAAAATATAATGCATCATTTTTTAGCTGCAAAGGGGTACAGTTTTACAAACAAGAACATATACAGTTCACAGATATCACAGACTTAACTGACAGGCATAATCAAGTAGTTAACCAAACTCACTTTATATAACTAAAAAGATGGACACAAGATGTTTTTTCCACCTCCGCTAATTTTAATATTCTTTATTCTCTTTAGCAATTTTTCCCTTTTGTAGAGGTCTGCATAACAAGCTTAAGTGGTCTGTAATCATCATCTTGTATCTTGCAGACTGGCGTAGATGATCATGCCTCTCCACAATCTGTGATCTGCAGCCGCGTGTATCAGTTAGTGTGTTGACGTCTACACCATGCCAAAAGGCTGTCAAGAATCTTCTCATGTTGCCTTCCTCTGTCTCTCTTTCCACAGATCTTTCCAGAGGTCACAACCTGTTCAAGTTTCCTTCTTCTCATAACATGACCTAAAAATTATAAACACCTCTTTCTGATGTTTGTGATAAGTTTCTTTGAGCTCTTTGTCTGCAATATTCATTCATTCATGCTGCTGTTCTGGCAATATATGTCACACAGGGCTCAGAGTCGATTCCTCCATTCCATTGTATTTTGCGCAATCAGTTCAATATCATAGATGGAATCCACTCCTGCAGCTTTGGCTTTTCTTTTTTGATTTCTTTTGGGCGTCCTCACCTTCTAAGTCCCTTTATTTCCCATCTTAGTGCCTGTTTGGTGATTCTGTGTAGGTTTCTTCTCAGGATGTGCCCAATATAGTGCCATCTTCTCTGTCTTTTAAATGTTTATACCAGTGGTTGCCTGGTCTGCAATATCATTTAGAAAATTGTCCCCGAGTTGGTTTCAGGACCCTATGTGGGGGAAAACAAGAATGGACCCAGTGCCTCACCAACAAGCATGTTGTAGGAGTCAACTAATTGGGGGCTTCCTTCGAAGCCGGTGGGTGTGCCCAAGAGGAAGGAACCACCAGCTGCACATAAATTAGCCAGTAAAATGGTAGACACGCAAAACTCATGCCCTGGTACCAAACCAAAGTCCAAAATGAATGAACAACCAGGACTTTTCACTAGAGTTTACAGCCGGTGAAGAAATAAGATTTACAAAAATAAAAAACCCACTCATCTTTAAAATGTAATTCTTTCTTCTAAACTATCAAGCCAAGAAATTCAATTCTTCCCAACTAAGTATTACATTTCATGTTATACAGATCCATAAGTACAATCTAATTAGTAATCCAGTTCTCCCTTCTCTATTGGTTTGACCTCCCGGAGCAGTTCCTGGGTCGCTGCTTCTCTTGCCTGTACCATCTTCATCCTAGCTCTCTTGAATGCCTCTGTGGAAGGTAAAAGAACACGATCAGACTCAGTGCATTTTCTTCTCCATCAGACTCAGTGCATTTTCTTCTCGACAAAAAGGTGTTGGTACTCACCCCAAGGTGTCTTAATAAAGGCACCAGTACTCACCCCAAGGTGTCTTAATAAAGGCACCAGTACTCACCCCAAGGTGTCTTAATAAAGGCACCAGTACTCACCCCAAGGTGTCTTAATAAAGGCACCAGTACTCACCCCAAAGTGTCTTAATAATGGCACCAGTACTCACCCCAAAGTGTCTTAATAAAGGCACCAATACTCACCCCAAAGTGTCTTAATAATGGCACCAGTACTCACCCCAAAGTGTCTTAATAAAGGCACCAGTACTCACCCCAAAGTGTCTTAATAAAGGCACCAGTACTCACCCCAAAGTGTCTTAATAATGGCACCAGTACTCACCCCAAAGTGTCCTAATAATGGCACCAGTACTCACCACAAAGTGTCTTAATAATGGCACCAGTACTCACCACAAAGTGTCCTAATAATGGCACCAGTACTCACCCCAAAGTGTCTTAATAATGGCACCAATACTCACCCCAAAGTGTCCTAATAATGGCACCAGTACTCACCACAAAGTGTCTTAATAATGGCAAAGTGTCCTAATAATGGCACCAGTACTCACCCCAAAGTGTCTTAATAAAGGCACCAGTACTCACCCCAAAGTGTCCTAATAATGGCACCAGTACTCACCACAAAGTGTCTTAATAATGGCACCAGTACTCACCCCAAAGTGTCTTAATAAAGGCACCAGTACTTCACCACAAAGTGTCCTTTACAGTGTTGCTGAAAATAAATTAGGCCACAGAAAAGGGTGACGGTACTGCAAACCACTGCATTCTACCAGAAAAAAAAGCCTTGATAAGGAATAAATTTATATTTGTTTTAACAAAGAAGAAAAGGTGAACAGATTTAAACAAAGAAGAAATGTGAACAGGTTTTCATAACTTACCTAAAACACTGGTGATGTTAGCTTGCATGGCCGTTATTCTGTAGATGAAACAAATGCAAACTTGTACATGTTGCGAAAATAATGTACATATGATATACAGTACGTCTTGTATTCTTATTCACTTCATGTTTGATTGCTTCAGGTGTTGAGTGAGATGTAAGGTTTTGATTCTTGCTCTTCTGGCCGCCTCGACCAGAGACACATCATGCTGCTGTAGTGTTACTCTGATGTTATCTTTCCATCTTGTTTTTGGTCTACCTACAGACTTCTTTCTGTGTTCACAGGCTGTAAAAGTGAATAAGTTCTGACTGTTCGTCCATTTCTGGACTTCAGTTTTGTTACAGAACTTGAGCTTTCTGTGCACAGCCATTTTACACTTCTGGCTTATTTGTAAGCAGACTGTTTGTTCCTTGCTTCTCGGGCAAATGCACTCCCACTCGAAATTAGTTGACTTTTACAACATGCTTGCTAGGTCAGTAGTGGGTCTGTTTGTTTTCTTCTTTCCAAAATAGGGCCCTGGAACCCACAACACAGGGATCTATGTACAGAGTAAGTAGTGGACCTTTTCCACACCATTGGTACATAGGACATATGATGCTATGCTCACTTTTGTAGACTAGTTGGCATTTGATGGGTGACGTGGTTAACATCATGCTGGTCATCTTTGCTTCCCAGGACTCTACCTATTACCTATTTTAGACTGGATCAGCCTGGGAGCCAAGATCATTTTTTTAAAACAATCCTACTCAACAGAGCTTTAAATGCTAGACCTTTGGGCTGGAGGTGGAGCATCTAGCTGCTATGCCATTAAGGCTCCTACATTTCTATAGGTAGGTTGTGTTTTTTTTTTCTAGAAAGGAAGGTGCTGTACCTCCCACAAAGTGTCTAAATAAGGTGCCGGTACTAAGAACAAAGTATTTTTTACAGTTGTGCAAACAAAAGTGCCAGTACTGCATACCACATTAAGAAAAAAGCCTCACATATAGGTTGACTAATGAGGGTCTGCAATACAGTACTCAAGAGACATGTGAATGGGTTGTGTCCCCCAGCAAGTGTTGGCATGCAGGAATCCTGAATTTTCCAGTAGCAAATTGAGCAGGAATGTGGCCATGTTGTTCAAATTTGTGGTCACATCTGCTACTACTAAAAATAGTGCTAAATAGAAAACTCTAGGGGGTGTGTAAAGACATATAAATATGGTAATCAATGAACCTGAAACAGGATGAAGCATTAAATGGAGGAATATATTTTCTGGGGCCTTAAAAAATCTGTATCGGGTGACTCATGCGTGGCCCTGTGACCTCTATCACTGGGGATTATGAGAAAATCTGACATCAACTTGGCTTCAACAATTCTAGCTTGTTTATTACAGAGTTCAGCCTGAAGCAGCTAGTTAATTGTAAGGCCTAGTCCATTCTCAGTCCCATCCTTACCAAGACTGCAGGTTACACCTGGCTGGTGCCACCCTTACAGGTGTCCTAGTTATAACTTCTTTGGAGGCTGATCTGGGATCTGCCTTGCTGGTCTGCTGTCCAGGCAGATATTTTGTAATCAGGATAGTATGGTAAACCTTTAGGTAGCTGCTTGGAGGGAACAAACTGATTGATTCTCAATGCCTCTACAGCTGAGGAGAGCTTATGTTCTTGCTCATTAACTCCGGTCCCAGGTATGATCTGAACTGAAAATTTGGGTTACAGAGCAGGAAACTCACTGCAACAGTGTCAGGAGTCGAGGGGAAGAAGTTAGGAAGAGCAGAAGTAGACTTGCAATCAAATAATGCAGACACATAATTACCTATGACCTCCGACCCCTTGATGTCCTGATTAGAAAATTTAGACTGTACAATAGTATACTAGTTGGAATGGTCTCAGGCCAGAAGGAATCAGAAGAGAAGAAAAAAACTTGCATCAACATGAATACATATGCTCACAGATAATTCCCAAATCTGAAATGTGTTTGACATCAACTTACCCCAGAGACTGCAGTAATGATCCTAGAGAACGCTTGTTGGCTTTGCTCTCCATAAAACTTCTGAAATCAAAGTTACATACATTAGTCGATATGGCTCGGTGTGTTTATGTTGTTTTATAATCAGCTTTTAAATACCTAACTGTATCTTACTTGGCCACTTATCTTCTACCTCGGGTTGTAGAGGTTTGCCAGAGAGATAGCCAGACGTCTCTATCAGCAGTTTTCTTTTTTGCTTTGATCCACTAAAGCCTTCTGTCAGTCAGGGATTGTTCCAAGTTGTATTCCCAGCGAACCCTGGGTCGTCCTGGTGGTCTGGTTCCTAACCTGCTATGTCTGCCGTGGTGGCAGATTCTTTCAGTCAGGGATTGTTGGATGTTGTCTTCCCAGCGAACCCTGGGTCATCCTGGTGGTCTGGTTCTTAGCCTGCCATGATGCCCGATTCTCTCCCATTCTGCATACATGGCCAAACCATCGTAACTGGGGCAGATCCTCTTGAGTTTGTTGGGCTTGGGTTTCAAGGTCATGACATTGTCTGATAGTGAACTTTGTCCTTTCTTGTCACTTAGACCACCTTTCTCAGGTACCTCATTTCTGAGGCCTAAAGCTGGTTTCTGTGAGCTGTTGTCATTGCCCATAACTCACACCAATAATAATCAAATCTTATTTATTATATTTTGTAATGAAGCATCAATGTTATTGCACTCATAACAAACTTGTACGTTTGGTTTCTTCTAAAAGAATTAAGTGATGTGATAAAGTCACTAACATGGAGCTTTGGATAAGAACAAATTCCTGTGAATCAAGAGATGGAGAAAAGACACTAGCAGCAGATAGAACACCTGTTGGAAAAACCTTGGAAGAATCCGGAGTTACCAGATTTTGTGTAGTAATAAGTAACAGTGAAATTATTTACAACACTTTTCCTTCAAAACACTTCCCTCTGGCAACTAAACACATTTGCCAACGTTCATAAAGTTGTTGGAACATTCCTGGAACCCATTCTTTAACACCTCTTACAGCTGCTTTACCACACTGGCGATAACGTCCTCAGCAGACTTGAATCGCTGCCCTTTGGTGCCGAATTTAGGCAGGGGATCCAGAAAAATCCTGGATAATAATGGACTGATGGAATATCCTAGGCTGCTAATACCGGCATCTATATAGCTCGTACCAGATGCCTCTTCAGAACTTCATGCTGAAAGGCAAAACAGCCTTGAGAAAAATCAAGAAGATGAACTAAAGCTGCAATTAACACAGGACAAGACAAACCTGCTCTGCCACATGATGTTGAAGTGAGCTGTCACTGTTCCTGTGGATTGAGTTCTGAATCCAAACTTGCTGAGGTATGTGCCCTGCAATTGAGATTCTCCATTAAGTCATACATTTTAGGTTCATCAATAAATAATGATTATGATTTATCAGCAGCGTTACACTCGGAAAATGTCAATAACTTCTTAGTCAAAGTGTGGATATGACTCATAAATGTACAGGCATTGATTGGAACTGAATTCTTCTGATGTTCTTCCTGAACCCTTTCACCCCGGTAATGCTAAAACAAAAATGGGCCAATACGGTGTTGGAATCCCATTTTAAAAAAAATCCTGGAATTAACAGGTCACTAATGAATTCGTTACCAATTTATTTATGTATATTTAAAAACAAAAATAGTTTGTGAAAATATATACAGAAATATATAAAAGGTTAAAGTTGAGAAGATCAACTTCACTGCACCAGGTTTCATCCCATGTGGCTCGGTCTCTCTCCGCAGAACGGCTAGCCATCTGCTGAGAGTGCTGTGCAGAGCAGGAACTCAGTCGCTCCCACGACGATCCTTAAGACTTCCGTAAAAATTGCACTTTTGAAATGAAGATCACAGAAATGGAATGAACCCACGACCTTAAGAGCACGAGGCAAGCGGCTTGACCAATTCGCCACGGGTATCCCCAGTATACATTAATATAAAGGTAGTAATCAATAGACCAAACAGGTTAAAGTACTAAATGGGATACATTTACTGGCTGACTCATGTCGTGACTCCATGACCTCTATCATTAAGGCTATGGGAAAATTTGATGTCAAATTGGCTTTAAAAAATCTTTCAACTCAAATCAAAGGAAAAACCTAAATGCTTTTTTTTTTAGTTTATACAATTATATCATGACCTAAATATTTGCACAGGGGCAAAACAGCCAATAGCACTAACCATCAGTGTTTCATAAACAGGTCACTTCAGTTTACTATAGGCATGCTGGAAAAGTGACATTTATAAGGAATTGTGCCCAACCGGAAATGGTGGTTTTGTGACCCCTTAGGGTGAAAGGGTTGGAACATTGAGTTGTGGTTTACAGCCAGGTTTTCTTTCCCATTTGAATAATAGGACTGTAAAAGCTGACCCATTCTAACCTCATCCATCCATGAAACATGATGCCAGAGATTTTTCAGAGAACACTGTAGATTTAATATTAATTTTCTCTCATTATTTCTTAACAATACAAAAATTGATGAACATACATTTTTTTACAAATGAATACATCAAGTTTGCCCTAAGCGTAACATACAACGTGTAGAATCTGACGGATTGACTTTCTATCCCTCCAGGACATCACACAAGCGATAAACACCTGATGACACAATGTGCCACCATGTGGGTGAGGATCACCGTGGAGAGGTCCAAGAAACCGCGTTCAGCCTTTAGGCCATATTTATGGCCAGGCTATATTGCGGCCCCTGGCAAGAGCCAGAGTATGGCTTCAAATAATGAAAAATGTCATCCTAAAAAGGACAGGAAGTAGTATACAATGTGTAGAATCTCACTACAGACAACCTCAAAATGACCTTCAACCCATGAAATATCTGGCCATGATGCCAGGGATTTTTCAAAAGACCCTGCTAATTTAATACTGATTTTCTCTTACTATTTCTCCACAACAAAGATTTATAATAAGAAACTGTTTTTAAAATATATAAATCAAGGGTGGCTTAAAGAGCGCAACATACAGGGTGATGTTGTCTCACTACAATGATGAATGTCGAATTAAGAATCGACATCACAGCACTTGGGACACCCCCATAAGCACTCCGTCCCCATCTTCAGCAGCAAGCGAAGAGTTTCCGATTGTACCAGTAACTATGTCTCGCTACAGACATCCTTAAATGTCTCACTGTCTGCAGTACATATTCTGTATTCTCAGATGCCTGTCCACATAGGCATAGTTCCGACATCCCCTTCTCCCTCATTTTAAATTTCCTGTACATATGGAGACAGTACTTGAAAATGATGATACATTAAGTAGATTAATACAGAGTACATACATCAAACGTAGAAGGGACTGCAGCATATGTGGGGTCTTCTATTTCTGGTGTTCCTCCGATAAAAAAGCGGCGTAAGTTGTCAACCACTGAATTGCCAACGGGTCTCCAGCAGTGAGCTTTCTCTGTGTATGCACCTGGAATAAACAACACAGTACTTTAGCTAACTCCTCGCATCAAAGATCAGTGGCCACGGGTTCCAGTGTTTTCTGTCACACCTAAAGAAGTCTTTTAATGCTTTTAATCCCAAGGAACTCATCATGCGTTCATAAGGACCTACCTAGATTACCAATTAATGCAAGGCAAGCTGATTTTACATCTCTCTATACTATCCACTGGGCCTCCAAAGCTAAATCTTTCATTCCTGTAAGGTTTTGTACAAACATTATTATTGTTTTCATTAAATATTACCATAAAAAGTCTAACCACTTCCTGTGTTGTAGGAATGAAAGAAACCTCTGTGGCTGCCAGATTTATACACTGACCAAAAACTATCATATAAGAAAACACTTGGTCTGATGCATGAAATATGTGGGAAATAGTCAGTAACCTTGTTCAAACAAAGGTTAACCAATCAATTACTAGATAATCATCATCATCAGGTGCCTTGTCGACTGGCGTGGGCGATCATGCCTCTCCATAATCCGCGATCTCCTGCAGCATGTATCAGTTCGTGTGCCGACACACCTCCATGCCATGCAACAAGACTGTCAAGCACCTTCTCTCGTTGTCTTCCTCTATCCCTCCTTCCACAGATCTTTCCAGTGGTCACAACATGTTCTATTTTCCCTCTTCTCATAACATGGCCGAAAAATGATGACTGTCTCCCTCTGATGTCAGTGATAAGTTGTCTTCGGTCTCCCGCCTCTTTTAAAACCTCTTGGTTGCTCTTTTTGGCTGTCCAAGGTATTCTAAGCATTCTTCTGTAAAACCACATCTCTGAGGCCTCTAAAAATTGTTTGGCCTGCCTACCGATTGTCCAGGATTCACATCCATATGTTACTAGATAATACAGACACAAAAAGTGCAATAACCAATCTGATTCTTCCAATTCACTCTTAAAACGACTGTAAAATATTTAGTGATTTACAGTTAGGCTACGAAATCTGCATTTTACTATCCACCGCATTCAATTTCAACCAATCCTTAAATGGTTGCCTTTTACAACATGGGGAGCTGCTACAGTGTAGTGGCTAGACGCCCGCCTACAGATCTGAAAGTTGTTAGGCTCAAATCCAAACGGAGGCAAACTTTTTTTGTGTACAAAAATTACCTTGGCTTCCAGGTCGGCCCAGCCTTAAACACGTAACAGGTAAAATCCTGGGAAGTAAAGGTGGACATCACCCACTGAGTGCCGATTGGTCTATAAAATATAGGTCTAGCCCTATATGCCCAATACACCTGAAGGCTTGGAAATGGGATTATTTACTCTGTAACTTTAACAACATGCTTGCTAGGGGGCAGTAGGTCTGCTCTATGTTTTCCCCAAACTGGGACCCCACTACCCCCACGGGGAATCAACCCCTGACACATATACAAATATCTGTTACAGATTCTGTCGGAAATCGTACCTGGTTTGGCAGGAAGTTGGAAGTAGCTGTAACCTTCGTTAAAATGTCGGGACCAGGAATCAATGGCCCCGACCTCAATCATCAATCGTGGGAACTGAGGCAGCTCATCTATGAAGCAGAAACAGCAACCATTTAATACTGATAAAAAATATTTCTTTATGGGTTCAAATCCACATGGAGCTAGATTTTGTCATATATGATCTTAGCTCCCAGGTTGACCCAGCCTTACATGGGTACCAGGACAAGTTCTGGAAAGTAAAGGCGGCCGCCATAATGTTGACAACATCACCTATCCAGGGTTGGTTGGTCTATACAAATTTGAGTCCTTGACTTTTGTATCTTTTCTCCTGTTAGGTATATTTGGTTCAGGTCTGTCAACCAATTAATAGAAAAAACAACTGATAATATGCTGTATGTACCACAGACTTAATTATCACTATCATCATCATCATTCAGCAAGTTCTTTTCAGAACATCACTCTCTTTACTGAACACCTGAAAGTCTCCGTCTCAAGTCTCATTCTCCAGCCCTGTGTGCTTTTAAAACCAATGTATCCACCTCCATGGAGGTCAGACTCAGCTTATTTTTCTGGAAACCGTGCCTTTTCTGGAAACCGCCATGATGTTTAACATGGCCAAAATAGCTCAGCTTTCAGGTCAAAATGCTGTTTATCAGCCAGTTTTTCTTGATATTAGATCATGTAGGATGTCACTAGATGATGTAGGATTATCACCATATACTTCAGAATTTCTTGTCTCTGCATATATTTCGTCTTTAAAAAAACATAGTGCATTGTTGCTAGTTTTGTAAGGCCTGAACCCTGAGTGGATTTAATAAGCAAGTTGCAAAAGAGGTGTTTTCTTTAAAGTCAGAGTGCATCTGCCAGAGAGGTAAAGAACCCACAGTATCTATAAATAAGCCAGATCTGTAAACTGGATGTGCATGCAACACTCAAGTTCATGGAACATGACTAAAGTCCAGTAGTGGGTGAACAACCAGAATTTTCTGCCAGAGTTTACAGCCAGTAAACGCTAAGAGGAAGGGCCGCATGGTTTAAAATGTACAGGGTAAAAGACTGGTAGACTTTTAAAGAAGTTGCAGCAACTGTCATCACCTGCATGAGACCTCATCATTGGCTACTGAGGAAGGGAACAGAGCACTTGTGGCTGATGAGGAAGGGAACAGAGCACATGTGGGAATGTCCCAAGAACAGTGTTGTCAATTCCTGATAGATTGATTCATTCACTCATTCACAGCAGTTGTCATTACTAGGAATATAGTATCTGTTGATGGAAATAAAACTGAAGAAAAATCATGTGACATACCTTCGTTATCTGGTGCCAACTGATTTTTCTTGTATGACAACTCAAAATGAAACGGGTAGCTGAAATATGCCACTTCAGTCTAGGAAGAACAATATGCAGATTGGGAGAAACAAAAATTAAAAATAGCACCTAAATAATTAATGTTAGAACAAATAAATGGTAATAGTTTTTTTCTTCTTCTTCGAGTCCAATGGCTGTAAACTCTGGTGGTAAGTTCTGGCTGTTTGTCCACTTCTAGACTTTAGTCTTGCGTTTAGCTTGCACGTCCATCTTTTACAGATTCAGCTTATTTGTAAGCACAATGTTGGTTCCTCGCCTCTCAGACGGATGCACTTAAAAGGAAACACCCATAATTAACTGACATATATGATAAGTTTGTTAGGGCCAGTTAAGGTTATTTTTGTTTCTCTCTAGAATCCACATGGGAAAAACTAACTGAAAATGTAAATATTAACTAAAAACAATTTGTAATCAAACAAAAATTACTTTTCCATTACATGACCAAAGAACACTGCATCTCTCTTATAGCCCCTTATAATATTCAAATTCCGTTAGTTATTCCAAATATTCTGATGCCTAATTAAAAATAACATGACAATTCTAACAGTACCTGGTCAACAGTTTTTGTGGCACACGACTGGGTTACCCATGACAACTGCTGGCTTCGATCAGCTGACCAGTCTAGGTTCAATGAGAAATTAGTAGTTTGTTATACATTGTATGATTAAAAAGAAATTATTTCTGTATACTTCCTCTACATCTGTGTAGTTCTTCTTTGTCTTCTGCCTTTTATTCTCATTTGAGTGTAGCGCTTCAACCAATTCACAACAAGCCATCTTATCCTTGGCCAGACTGATGAACAAAACCAGAATGCATACTCTTTAACTCTTTGAGTCCCAGGATGTTTAGCATCACAGGCCCAGGTGGTAGTAAAGAGAGTCATAGAATCAGCGCAACTTGCGTTCACTGGGCTTCTAGGTAGGAACCTATGAATGTATGATGCTTTCCTTGGGACTCAAAGAGTTAAAAGACACAGAAACAAACAAAAGCATGTATACTGCTCAAGAACTGCTTTTTTTTTTTAGAAATTTACTTTTTTATGAGATCAGAAAACAAAAACACAAACTACTTGGTGGATTTGCAAACAAAATAATGACATGTATTTTGGACGGGAAGATCCATAAACACAATGAGAACACATACTTTTAAGGAGATCCAAAAACCAAACAGCAACATATAAAACCAGATCTATAATTTTCCCATTCAACAACATATCAAAAACAAATGTTTCTGGAAATAAAATAAACATTAACAACATACTTTCCTCAGACTAGACAACAAAATAAAACACTTACTCTTGGGGAGATCTGTAAACATATGAATGTACAGGTTGTCCTTTTCAAAATCTTGAGCGGACACTGTTAGAATTAAAAAAAAAAAAAAAGACAATAGTACTTATCAAAGAAAGCAAAAACATAAGTTCCATAAATGCAGCCAGTTTTTCATGCAGTTAAATGGTAAATCTTTTGTATTTACAGGTTGTCCCCAAAATGTATACTCATTTTGATTTAATAGTAATACATCTTTGTTAACATATATTTCAGTTATATCATTCACATTAGAAACTTATGTGTAGAATATTTTAACAGGACATTGCTGCTGTTCATAATCATGATCATTCTGCTTAAGACAGAATTGCAAACACAAATCAATTTCTCAAAGCTTAGTCTTGTGTCTGTCATTATCTTAAATAGGTGGAACATGTTTTTCAGATATTTATAATAATTAAAACTGGATACAGATTATATAAAATGCAAAAGATCTACACATTTTTAGAGGGTAATTTTAAGCAAATAAACAATATATAAGACTTTTTCTTTTTCTTCTACTGCTTCTATTTTCAACGTAAAAGGGCAACTTGACATGCTGTATTGTGGTTTACAGCTAGGCTATGGTGTATACACCTTCTGGCCCAAAACATCAGCAAACTCCTAATTAACTACCTTTTAGGACGAGCTTGTTAGGCAGCAGTGAACTATTTTGTTTTCTCTTGCATATAGGAAAAATATAATTGAATAGGTGCATACACCTCAGCGGCACTTTCTACTATTAGCGAGAGCATCACAGAGCAGGGTACTCACTTACCCTGGCAACCTAAAAAAAAAAAACAATTGCTGAAGGCTGAGATGCTCAGCCCTGTTGATGTGGATAACAAGGGGAGACCATCGCATTGTATATCCCTAGAAATTTAACAGAAGCCGAACCAGCATAGGGCTGGAGAAACGGCTTGAGAAAGAGAGACTTTCAGGTGGGCCTTAACATTTTGTCTCAATTGCTAGAGATAATTGTCACATAAAAATTCTTACAATAACATTTTTATACTTACCAATTTCTCCAAACACAACAACTCGTAAAGTATCAACCGGACACTGAAATTAAATCAAAGATGCACTCTTAAGAAGAAACAGATCAGACAACTCAAATAATTATGTGTTGCATGCGAACAAGAAGAAAAAATAATGATGTGAGAAACTTCTAAATTGTTTGTTAACCTTTGTTTATCTCATTACAAATGTCCTTTTAGCCTCCCCCCCCCCCCCCCCCCCCCCCTGGAAAAATAAAGATACAAAACAGAATTCAGATAATGTGAATGAAAATAAGTTACAAAGAAAAAAACTCACAAAGAAAACTGGCATAAGAAGTAGACAATCTACACTCTTCGTACAGGTCATTATAATAAATCCCTGTGTGCGTTCCAGGTCCCTATTATAGGAAAAACAAGAACAGACCCACTGCCTACCCAAAAGCATGCCGTAAGAGTTGACCAATTGGGAGCTTCCTTTGAAGTTGGAGTGCATCTGCCTGAGAGGCAAGGAACCAACAGTCTGCATACAAATGAGTCGGATCTGTAAAACAGATGCACACGCAACACTCAGGTTCTGGAACAGGACTGCAGTCCAGAAGTGGACAATCCCCAGAACTTTCTGCCGGAGTTTAAAGTTGGTGATCATGAAGAAGAAGAAGAAGATTATATTATTAAAAACTGCAGTACACTGATACATTTGGAAAGTCGGAGGCAAAAGAAACACAGAGGGACTTTAGATGATCTGGCAAAATGGCATGGAGGAACATGAGTATCGTAAATTATTGATAGTACACGAGACAGAAGGTTGTGGATAGATATGAAAACAAAGGGCACGTGTCTTGGACTATAAAAACTAGATGAACTTACCAGTTCAAACTCCTGGCCAACACATGACTGAACAAAGTCATTATGCCTGGCGTACATCTGCAGATAAAGTCAAATATATTATAATATAAAATGTGTAATACATTGCGTGTAAATCTGGCACTATAAGGAAAAGGCACATAATTTACTGGTCATATCAATAGAAAAAGTGAAATATGCAAATAAGCTTGTAACATTTAAAGTTGAAAATAAACGAGTGTTTGTTTCTTTTCCGCCCTTGAAATTCCTAACATTCTTTATTACATGTTCAATGCTGATTAGTGAGGTAAACTAAAGAACCCTTATCAATGCATTGCCACACTGAGCAAATGATGTTAGACTTATATTTTTATAGACCAGTTGGCACGTGATGGGTTCTTCGGTGACCAGGTCACCCACTGGCTAGCTGGTAGACGACTTCAATGTCGCTCGGAACAGTATTTGGGTCTGTCTCCTTTGACCACATCAACAATGCAGGAGTCCTTTTCAGGGCTCTTGTTGGCATGCAATGTTAACCCATTTGATATGGCACACTTAATCTAACCACAGTTATAACCTAAAGCTCCTCCTTCAGGGATGCTAGTTGAACGTGACTATTTTTTATTTTGTTTTTCTAGCAAAGCACCAATCTACCCTTTTTTTTTTCTTTTTTTTTTTTCCATCATATTTTTTCTCCATCATTAAATTTTTTTAAAGAATATTTCTTTCCAAACCTTGCCTCTGCACTCCAACATAATTATCTACATGCCACTTCTCTAACCTGGTTAGCCTCCATCTGATGTTTGAAAAACCACCTCATTTGTTCTTCTGTCAAGCCACAGTATTTTTACATATATTTCTCAGAAACCATATTTTGGACAACAAAATCATGTCCAGCAAAACCCCTATTTTCCTGACATACTATACTTTTCCCTAGAAACCACAGGATAACGTAAGAATTTCTTTTATTCTAATACACTTTAAAATTACAGCAATCCCCAGTAAGATGAGATAATAAAAAAATTGGAAGATCAGGGATAATAAGATTAAAAACAAGACTAGAAAAGAAGAAACAAAATGTTGATGTCCACACAATTGAGGTTGGCTGCAATTCCCAAATTCTAATTATGAGAATACAGAGAGAAAACCACAGATGTTCTGAGGGAATAGACATCAGAAAGAGACAGTTGTCATTTTGGGGTCCTGATGTGAGAGATCTATCTTCCCAGTTGACACACAAGCAGATACCTCGGAGTACTAAAGTGAATCTTATCAGAATTATTTTTTGGCCAACACTATGCTATCAGTGCCATATGTGGACACTTACAACCTCTAATGAACGTAAAATTGTGACAACAGAGATCAAATGCCTTAGAAGAGCTGCAAGAGTTTCAAGGACAGACAAAATACGAAATCAGACGAATGCTAAGAATAAATCCAGTCTTACAGATCATCAAAAAGTAACAAATGAAGTGGTTGGACACCTAACAAGAATGTCCTGGTACTATCTGCCACAGCGAGCCAGACTAAAACTTTACAATGAGTATAGAGCATGTGGAAGACCTCAGAAAATATGGAGTGATGGCATTAAGAACAGCCTTACAGAAATGAACATTAGTCTTGATAGTGTTCTTGACAGAGCTCATCAACGAATGTTACATCTCCCCCCGATACTTCCATGAGGTTCGAGGTGGAAGAGAAGAAGAAGATGTGAGGGAAGGGAGACTGGAGCATGTTGCAACTACTGTAAAGATTTCTGGAGAGAAAAAACAAACAGACAGAAGAATACAACACAAGAAGATTCTTGATTGCCTTTTGCCATGGCATGAAGAGATGTCAGCAGACGAACTGATACATTCTGTTGAAGACTGCACTTTGTGGAGAGGTATGATCACCCATACCAGTCGCAAGGCACTTGATGATGATTAATTATGAGAATATTACGTGTTGGGGCCCCTAGCTCTCTCCCAGTGCAACTTTTGTCTTACCGCAGGAACTGAACCCTAGTAAATGTTGAGGTTTACATTATGAAATGATTTTGATTAATCTTTAAGAAAAAACATAGAAGGAGACAGCAAAAGAAGAAGTGCAGGAGAGGTGAAACAGAAGAACCAAATGCAGATGTTACCTCTCTGTACATTCGTAGTTCCTTCTCTTGCTCCTGATGACTCATGTCTTTAGAGACATTCTCAATTGTGTAATCATAGGTTTCTGAATGATTCAAATTCAAATTTTGTTAATGATAAACAATCACATTTCTCCCAGATTTACGGTATCTATCATAGAATCAAGGCCAAAGGGTTGTGATATCCACAGTACTGAGCCAAAGGGTTAACAACTCTTGGTTTCTGGAAAGGTAAAAATAAAAATAAAACAGATTGCAGTGGCAAACATCGCTTCAGAGATCCCAGTTAGTTAGTGTCCTTGGTTATTTTATGCAGGGCAGGTTGGTGTGTTGGGAAATGAACAGGCAGAGAAACAGGCTAGTTCTGTATCATGTGGTGGTAAACTGATGCCTGACAACCCAGATGTTATCAAGGTAATTTAGGAGAGAGTGACACAGCAAGGAAGCACAAGTAGATCACCAAGATCTGAAGAGAATGGTGCAGCTGGCAGTAACCAGGGGCTCTAGGCCAGGCTCAACATACAGAGGAAAGGTAAGACCAACATAACAATCAGACTGCTCTAGTGCCATCGGAATTCTGCGCAGGCTAATGAAGATAGGGAGGGCGCGCTTATGGAAATCGGCTCTCCTCCGAACTTCTACCCCCGCAGTATTGCGGCCTGAAATATCCGTTCGGGGCGCAGTCCAATTAAAAATATGCCGGCTCCGTGTAATGAAACAAATGCTCTAACAGGGTCTCAGCGATATGTTACTTGCGGACCTGTTTCTTATTGTTTCTGATTACCTGACAATTCTAAGAGACGCACGCAATACTGCAGACAATAGTAGCAGACGATAATAATAGCGACCGTTGACACTTTCCATTGTCGAACTTTCTGCCGACGAACAAATCGCAGCAAATCTAGGATCGGCTCAGGAAAAACGAAACAAATGCTCTAACAGGGTCTCAGGGATATGTTACTTGTGGACCTGTTTCTGTGACTATGCCTCACCGCCGAGCGTATCCCCCACGCCGCTACGTGCGGCGCGGATAGGGGCTAAACTAGATGGATGGGACTCACAAGCGGCAGCTACCGCATCTCTTGCAACTTCCTCCAAATACTTTGCTCGTGAGTCCCAGGCACCTAGTTTAGCCCCCCATCCATGCCGCACATAGCGGCATGGGGAATACGCTCGGCGGTGAGTTTAATTGGGTTTTGCGCATGCCGACAAGTCTGATATCTACCGCTGCTAAATCCTCAATCGGAATAACAGTATTGCTAATCTGCGTGGGAGTGCGTGATCTACCCGCCATATCGCTTTCATCATCTGTAATGTCTCGAAATTGTCAACGGTCGCTTTTATTGTCTGCTAGTATCATCTGCAGAAAACGCTCGACATTGTCACCGGTCGCTTTTATCATCTGCTACTATTGTCTGCAATGTTGCGTCTCGTGACTTTGTAAGGTACTCCTAGTTTTGCCGCAATTTGTTCCTCGGCGGGAACTCCGACAAGTACGTATTTTCAATTGGACTGCGCCCTGAACGGATATTTCAGGCCGCAATACTGCGGGGGTAGAAGTTCGGAGGAGAGCCTGGGAATCTTCTTCTTCTTTGTTCACCGGCTGTAAGTGTCAGTGGAAAATTCTTGTTGTTCGTCTATTTGGACTTTGGCTTTGTGCCAGGGACTGAGTTTTGCGTGTACATCTGTTTTACTGGCTTATTTGTGTGCAGTTGGTTGTTCCTTGCCGCTCAGGCAGATTCACTCCGACTCGAAGGAAGCCCCCTATTAGTCGACTCCTACGACACACTTGTTGGGGAGGCACTGGGTCTATTCTTGTTTTCCCCATAATAGTGCCCTGGAACCCACAGGGAGAGCTGTTGGGAATATCCCACCTGCTTTTATGTCAGTTCTCAACTCAGCTCATTACAAGAACACTGTAAAATGTTAACAGGTTATATTCATACCTCGCGTCGTAAGAGATTCTATACTGTAAGGTTTCCTGCCACTGGTGAAGTCAGGCCGCACACTCAAGACTCCGTTAGCATCTACTTTGAGGGCACACAAAATATATTCGTCTGCCTCAGTTGCTGGTCTGAATGTGGATAAAACAATTTGTAGTGTTTATTTCTTTTTTTAAAACTAAATTAATACATACAGTGTTAATGTTAACTTCTATACTTATTAATGTAGTAAAAAAAACATAACCCTAACCTTTACCCACATTTTACAAAAAAATTACATTAGTATGTATAGTGTTTAATGTTAACCTCTACGGTTTCAATATTAATTGTATACTTTTAATGTTAACTTACGTAGCTCCTACATTATCTTTTTAGTTAATACATTAACATTTATAGTTTTCATTTTAACTTTTACAACTCTCATAAAAACTGTGATAGTTACAAAGTTAAACATTTATAATTTAAATGTAAAGTTGCAAGCCTCCTATGTTAACTTACTGAATTAACTTGAACAGTGCCTACTCTCATTTGTACTGCTTCTACGTGGCTCAGAGGTTAGTGACAAATTGAACAATTTTATATATTATGATTCAATTTCTGGGGCAGCGAGAAAAACATGTTCTTGTGGTTTTCAGATGACAGTACAAGAATAACACGGTGGAAAAGACTGAAGCATCCCTACACAATACAGAGTGTTCCAAAGGTTTCGATACACAGGAAAAATCAAAGATAACAACAATGCCATTACAAGCACAATTCCAGCTGTGCTTGTGTGTGTTTTCCAGCAGTGGAAGACACACATGGAAATGTGTTTCCAAAATAAGCCAATATTTTTTTTTAAATACTTTTTAAAAAAAAACGTTTATTTTCCCTACGTATGAAACCTTATCTCTCCTTCTTCTTCGCGTTCACTGGCTGTGAACTACAGTGGAAAATTCTGGTTGTTCATTCACCTCAAGACTTTAGTCTTCTTTCAGAACCTGGGTGTTGCGCGC